AGGAACTCACTAGCAGTGCGAACCTGAGTGAAGTGGGCCTCCTCAGACTCAGGGAGGAGGCTGCTAAGAGCGATGCAGGCAGCAGCGTCACGCGACTTCCACGCCGTCAGGTCAGCACGCTGGCGGGTAAAGCGGTCTCTGGCGGCGTTGTCAGGGGCAGGGCCTAACGGCGTAGGGTCGTCGGGCGCAGGAAGGTCACCAGTAGCGTGCGCCCAGAGGGACTCACCCGCCTGGACCTGACTCTCCAAAAGGTGACGCGCGCGTAGGAGCTAGACCGGAAACTCGAGCGGTCTACCGTCAGCGTCAAAACGAAGAACCCTAGGGGTCGCCATAGCGTAAGCGGAAACGACAAGTCCGGCTGCGGGCGGCACTGGTAGGGCGGCTAGGGCAAGTCCGTGGCAGGTGCAAAACGCAGGCGCGATAGGCGCAAGGGGTGTGGACTGAACGAGTAGGTGCAGTAGTGTGAAGGGAGGGCCAAACTAGCGGGCCCGTAGCGGTCCTAACGAGGAGGCGCGGCAGCTGAAAGGTAGGGCCCGTGGCGGCTAGAAGGGAGGGTCCGCGGCGGGCAGTACGGGCAGGCGCAGCAGCGGGACAAGCGAGCCCACGGTGGGCCTAACTAGGAGGCGCGACGGCGGGTAGGAGGGGTAGGCGCGGCGGTAGGACGAGCGGGCCCACGGCGGGCCTACCTAGGAGGCGCGACGGCGGGCAGGAGGGGTAGGCGCGGCGGCGGGACTAGCAGGTCTGCGGCGGGCCGAACGGGCAGGCGCGGCGGCAGGCGCGGCGCGCGAACGGGCGTGTAGGGCAGCGGGGGGAGGGCGCGTCGCGACGAGCAGCAGGGGAGGGGACGACGGGACGGGAAGAGGGGGAGAGCGGGACGTGACGAGGGGCAGGGGAAGGCGCGACGCGACAGGCAGCGGGGGGAAGGCACGAAGTGACGGACAGCGGGGGAAAAGCGCGACTCGACGGGCAGCAAGGGGAGGCGCGAAGTGACGGGCAGCGGGGGGAAAGCGCGACTCGACGGGCAGCAGGGGGGGAGGCACGACACGACGGGCAGCGGGGGGGGGGGGGGGGGGGGGGGGGGGGAAGGGCGCTACGCTACGGGGAAAGTGGGTCGGCGGAACGGGCGGTAACGAACGAACGGGACTAGATCGCGCGGGCGGTAACGAACGAACGGGACTAGATCGGGCCGGCGGTAACGAACGAACGGGACTAGATCGGGCCGGCGCTAAGCTCGGGCAAGACGGGCGCAACTAGTACGACAGTGTGAGACAGGCTCGGGCGAGACGAACGAGGACGGGAGGAGCGGGATCCCACAGGATCCTAACCTAGGTGATACCATGTCAAGAATAGAAGTGTTGGTGTCATTGATGTGAGTTGGGGTACATATAACAAACCCTAACCTCTGTACCCCCTAAGACAAACCTCACTACAGGCTACAACATTTGACACATATATATCCCGGACGAGAATGATGTAATGCCCATTTGAAACGAAGCTCGTTGCCATTGTAAACACAAGAAAGCAAGCTTTCTAAATCAGTGCAAAAAGGTATGCAACAGACAGCTTGGGTCACAATGCTGAAGGGAAACGATCAACTGCAAGGTGATGTGAGATGGTAGCGGCATCAGCAAACGATAGTCTTGATCAAGTGAAAAAAACCCGATCTTCACATCCTGCATCATATGAAGTGCTGCCATAATGGAATGAAGCCATAATAAACGCCAGCTCAAAGAACTCCCTCCTTGGCTATTATCTGCCAATCTCAGCACAGATGACAGCAGCAGCAGCAACAGCCTCAGCAGAGGTGGCACGTTCTTCAGACGCTGAGTGCTGCTATGTGATTGCTGCAGAGCAGATGATGCATGTTGCGAGGTGCTCAGAGCAGCAGCATGCTCAACCTTTGCTGGGAACAGGGAGCTCTAGTATCGTAGTGAGAGGGAAAAGGGGCGGGAGGAGCAAGGGAGCCCACTGCACCAGTGGCAGCAGCATGAGTTTCACCGGCAGCAATAGCCTGAGTTGCAGCAGTAAACCCTGCCTAGGCTGGTGTCTGGGGGGAGGGAAGGGGTGGAGGAGAGGAAACAACGGGACAAGGAGAGAAAATGTCGAGTGTTTACAGCGATGGACAGCTGCAACTGGGGGAGGTCCACCCTGCCGTACCCCGCGTGCAGACTGCCTAGACTGGTGGGTGGAGGGAAAGGAGAGGAAAGTCAGAGTGACTACGGTGCTGGACAGGTGTAACTGGGGGAGGTCTACCCTACCGTACCCCACGTGCCGGGCAGGCTGCCTAGGCTGGGAGGATGGGGATGGGGGAAGAAGGAATAAGGCAAACAATTATAAAATGTGAAGTGGCGGTAAAGAGCAATTCAAGTAAAGAAAGGGTGAGAGAGAAAGTAGAAGTCGAGACAAGGAAGGATGGAATGAATGAAGAGGAGGAGAGGGCCAGCAATGCGTTGGTTCTTCTGACGCCCTGTGCTATACTCATGAGAACGGTTCTTCAAACCGTTCTTACGTATGAAAAAGGTTTTTATCAAGCAAACACCAATACACGTAAGAGCGATTGGATGATAGCAGGAAAAACAGGAGTGAGTGAAACATGGTGGCAGGAGATTTGTGAGACTTGATATGAAAAAAATGAGAACAAACTCAAAAGCAGGAGAGCAGGAGAACAATGACTAGGTTGACCATGATTGCCTTTGTGCTGTAACCGCATATAGCATAGCAATACAAAGGACCATGCGAGTGAAGGTGAGCAAGTGAGAGAGAGGCGGGGGGAGAGCATACGCTTCAAGCTGCTGTGAGAGCTTATCCACTCGATCCACCAGTGGCGCACTCTCCTTCCTGCTCTCCACACAACACCACACAAACACATGGGGCATGGTGAGAATGCATGTGCTGAACGGGGGGCCTTATCCACCGCATCCACCAGTGGCGCACTCTCCTACCTGAACACGTGAAGCACCTGAACACGTGAAGCACCTGAACACGTGAAGCACCTGAATGCGTGAAGGCACCTGAACATGTGGAACCACCTGAACATGTAAAAGCACCTAAACGTGTGAAAGCAGTTTAACGCCTAGGAACTTAGGCTATGATACCATCTCACGAGTCAGTTAGCGGAAGGTATCAAGACTAAGGGGAAAAGGGTACAAGTAGGAGAGTCGAGAGAAATATTGTACCTCATACTATGTGCCTCACCTCACTCTAGCCGAAGATAACTAACAAAGCTAAATATAAACAACCCCTCACTTTCGTCTGAAATTTCAGACACCCAGAATTCTTTCGTCAAATGCTCAGACGGGCTTCAATCCTAGCAACGACCCTGCCCACAACCCTCTTCCAAGGCTGGACCCAGCCGCGGCAGTGACCCAAGCCCTTTTATCCCAATGGTCTAGTGGTTGGGATTCTGACATGTTATCAGAGTGGTTCCGATCCTAGGACCCAACTGCTTCCGCTGCTACTCTGTGCTCGGCACGCCCCGTGGCGTGCCCCTCGCGCTTCTCTTAGCGGCCCCGTTGCCGCCCTTCCTAGCCCCTCGCGGCCCCTTCGCGGCCCCGTTGCCGCCCTTCCAGGCCCCTCGCGGCCCCTTCGCGGCCCCGTCGCCGCCCCTTTCGCGGCCCGTCGCCGCCCTTCCGCGGCCCCGTCGCCGCCCTTTCAGCGGCCCCGTCACCGCCCTTCCGCGGCCCCGTCGCCGCCCTTTCAGCGGCCCCGACGCCGCCCTTTCCGCGGCCCCGTCGCCGCCCCTTACAGCGGCCCCGTCGCCGCCCTTCAGCGGCCCCGTCGCCGCCCTTCCGCGGCCCCGTCGCCGCCCCTTCAGCGGCCCCGTTGCCGCCACCCCTTCAGCGGCCCCGTCGCCGCCCTTCAGCGGCCCCGTCGCCGCCCTTCCTCGGCCCCGTCGCCGCCTACAGCGGCCCCGGCCCCGCCCCGGCCATGCCCCGCCGCCAGCCGCGGCGCACCGGTGCACCGCCCCCCCCCCCCCCTTTTCCCGTCGCCTGTCGAGGCGACCTGAGGGGCAACCTGGGGGGGGGGGGCGAGCGTCGCCCCTTCTGCCGCCTGCTTTGGCGCCCTGGGAGGCCGCGCGTCGCCCCCCCCCCCCCCCCCCCCCCCCCCCCCCCCCCCCCCCCTCCCTACCCGCCATCCCGCCCTGCCCTGTGTTAGGGTTTGGGGGTGGCAAGAAGGGGGTGACGGGTGTGTGGTCTCCCCTGCTCCTCCTCCTCCTTCGTCTCCCACTGCTGCAGCTGTCGCTGAGGGGGGTGGATGTGTGGGAGCCTGGGGTTTAGGGTTTAAGGGGGGTACTGTGGGAGTGGAGCTAGGGTTTTGAGGGAGGTGGATGTGTGGGCGTCTGGGGTTTAGGGTTTACGGGGGTGCTGTGGGTGTAGGGTAAGGGTTTGAGCAGGGGGTGTGTGAGAGGGGCGTTGGGCAGCTGGGGGAGGTTGCGTGGAGGCAGCAGTCTTGTCGTCAGCAGCACCAGCAGTCCGGAGGCTACAATCTCCGGTAGTCGCCAGTCGCCTGTGGGTCAGTTGCTCGTCTGCCGCTACTTTTAGCCGCGGAGCCAGTTACTCCTGTAGTCCGGGCCTTTGCTTCGGTAGCCACTGAGCCAGCAGCTCGTCTGTGTGTCTGCAGCGTCAGCAGTCACCTCCCATCTTCTCTCCCCCACAGTCTCTCCTCCTCCTCACTTGCCCTCTGTGATTAGCTCTAGCCTTACTTACCTATTGTGAACTCCTGCTCTATGCCTGCTTGCTCATTGTGCTGATTACACCCCACTTTGGCTATGGGGGTGTGTCAGAATGTCATTCTCTAGCCTGTAGTGGGGTGCTCTATAGCGAGTACAACCCATCTGGGGTTTGCTATATGTATCCTCATTGCTGCTAGTGAAACCACTCTTCTTCATTCTCGTTCTCTTTTCACACAGCACTGCCTCTCTTGATTTTCTCACGAGCAAGGGTGAGTGACTGCAGTTGATTGCATTACAAGCACTAGCACTGATGGTTATACGGTACTTTCTATGCACACGCGGGCAGTGGTTTCCCACATAGGTTGGGGTTCCCTGGTTTGAAGGAGCCTCTCTTCAACCTGCTAAGAGCGGCTGGTACAGCCCCTGACAGCCCATTCCCCGCCAGCAGCACTTGTCGTATCCCTGCCGGCCAATCCGGGGGAATTTCTCCCGATAGCCTGTTATACGACAAGCCTAGTCCTTGCAGCTGATTCATCTTGCTCACACCAGTGGGGATCGCTCCTGTGAGGTTGTTTTTATGGAGGCGGAGGCGCTTGAGTTTTGTAAAGGAGCTGATTGTAGCGGGGATGGGGCCGGAGAGGCTGTTGGCAGGCAGAGAGAGAAACTGGAGGGAGTCGGAGCAGGAGGGGGAGGAGAGCGGGGTGGGCGGGCCAGAGAGGCTGTTGGAGGCGAGGTTTAGGAAGGAGAGAAGCTGCCCTTCCTGGCAGAAGGCGGGGATGGGGCCTATGCTATGGGATAGGGGATGAGAGGTAGGAGGAAACACAGGGATGGAGCAGGGAGGGAAACACGAGAGTAAATCAGGGAGAGCAGGGATGGGTAGCAGGACGAGGGCGAGGAAAGGGGGCTGTGAAAGAGAAAGGGGGTGGGAGAGTGGGGTGGGTGGGCCGGAGAGGGTGTTGGAGGCGAGATTGAGGAAGGTGAGTGAGGGCATGATGGGCCTGGTAGAAGGTGGGGATTCGGATGATCGGCCCCGGGGGTGCGGGTATCAACAGGGAGAGAAGAGACGGAGGGAGTGGCAATTGGAGTTATGAAAAGGAACACTTAGGGTTGAGGAAGGTAAGGGCATGGTGGGCCGGGCACAAGGAGGGGACTGCAGGGGAAACGAAGGCGCGAGGGACGTGGAGCAGGGAGAGCAGAGGCAGGAAGGTGGGAAGATGAGTCGAGCGAAAGAAGATATAGGGTTGAGAATGGTGGTGAGGTCTTGATGGGCCTGGCAGAAGGTGGGAGGAGAAAGTGTGGTGAGGAGGGAGAGCGGGGAAGTAGGAAGAAAGAGTCGTGAGAAAGCAGATTTAGGGTTGAGGAAGGTGAGGAACTGGGTGGGGCAGGAAGAGGGATAGGAGAGGCGGGACAGACGGCAGAAGAATCGTGAGTGGGCAGATTTTGTGTTGAGGAGAAATGGGGGCCTGGTGGGCCTGGTAGAAGGAGGGGATGGGGCGAGGAACAGGGAGACCGAGAGACAGAGGAGTGGAAACTGGAGTCATGAGAACAGAGATTTAGGGGTGAAGGCCTGAGGGATGGGGGAGGAGAGGTAGGAGCAATAATGGGGCAGGTGAAGCAGATGGATTGTGGACAACAAGGGTGGACGAGAAGAGGGGCCAAGAAGGGCGAACAGCAAATCAGATTACCTCGTTTTGAAAATCGGTAGTTCTCAAATCAGATTACCCGTCAGGGCGTTTCCCTAGAGGTCCAAGTAGTTGAGCTGGTACGAAGTGGTGAGGCCTTGGGGAATTTCCCCTGTAAATTTGTTGAATCCCACGTCCAGAGCAACCAGCGGCATGTTCGAAAACGGCTGCAAGCTGCCCGAGAAATTGTTGTGGCTCAACAACATGATTAGGCCATCAAGCGCTTTATCCGAAGACAGGCAGTTGGCAGGAACAGTTCCAGTCAGGCGATTGCGCGAAAGATAAATTCTTTCAAGAGTGCCCAATCGGCACAAGGTCTCCGGGAAGGAGCCTGAGAACAGATTCCCCGAAACGTCGAGAAGTACCGCGAATCTGTTGAACTGGATCGTGCTTAAGCTTCCGTTCAGCCTGTTCCCGCTCAAGTCAAGGTTCACGGCGTGTATTTGCAGCCCGCTCAGGTCGCCGGAAAGCTGGTTGTGATCCAACGCAAGGTATGACACCTTTTTTAGCAAAGCAGGGGGGATATCCCCAGATAGCCAATTCCAGTTCAGACCTAACACCTTCAGCATCGGCAGCGTCGCCAGCGCGGGAGGAATGGGGCCGGACAGCCTATTAACCGCGAGGTCCAGAGCAGCTAGCGAAGCCATTGCGGCGTACGAAGCAGTTCCTTGTGGTAACCCGCCAGAGAAGAAGTTTTCCGTTGCGGCCAGGCTGGAAAGATTCGGCAGGCGAAAAAAAGCGACGGGAAGAGGACCGGCGAAGCAGTTACCAATAAGATCGAGAGTTTTGAGCTTCGTCAGATGGGAAAGTGCTTGCTGGACCGCGCCGGCAAGCCACAGATTTACCAAAGAGAGCTTCGTTAGACCCGTTAGTTGCCCGATCGACTCGGACAGGGTTGCGGGGAATTTTCCGCTGGGATCCCGCGCAGTACGGTTGCAAAGGCGAGGCGTGATTGGGAGCTCTTAGGATCGTAAGCACCTTAGTCGGCAATAGTCTACTTGCTATCGCCTATCGTGTTCTCCACGATCTCCCGAATCCAATGATATGCGCAGCTCTGCTTGAAGTTGTCAATACACACTTCAGCAATTTTCAGAATCTGATTGGTATGATTTCCAGAATGAGTACAAGCAGTTTTATAGTCAGGCAAGACACAAAATGCGATTCGTAACTTCACTTGTTTCCCAAGTAACCGCGTGCGCCTCGTTTCACCCCGAGTCGCACACACAACCGAACCGAATTTGGTGAACACTCCTCAAGACCGAATCTGGAACCTTCTCGAACACGCCTCGAGCTCGAACCACAATTTCCCCTCGCCAACTTCAATCTCGATGCTTCTTCACTTGTAAAACAGAGTAGCTGTGACTACTAGAGGGCTGGAAACTTGGCTGGAAAGTCTTAGCAGGGCTGCTGGAATTGACTGGATGAGGTAAAACTTCACTATGTTTAAGATTGTCCAAGCCCACTAAGGCACAACTTCTTAAGCATTACAATCATGCAGATTGATAGCTCAAACTAGGCTGCTAGACAAGGCAACTTCCTGGAGAACTTAGGCACAATTCAGATTCCATGAACCTTGAGTGACTTGAGTGCCACATGAGGTGCATGAATAAGAAAGCTCTGGAATTCTCTGTCATAGCTGATTTTGTTTGGTAGAAACCTGTAGAAACTGTTGACACTTCTTCTTGAAAACAATTCCGAACTGTATCGAGAATTCGGCTCCAATCTGATTGGTTGAGAAACTTTCTGATTTGTTTGCGAAGCCTTCAATCCGTCGCCGACATTCCCCCCTTGCTGCTCCTTGTGTGCAAAGGGCTGGGGCGGCAGAAACTTGATTCTCCAACACTCCCCCTCGCACCAGACCCGAAGCACACATACGCCCATTCTTATTCTCCTCTTACATCTCCTTGGCATACACTCCATGCTGCTGCCCATATTGCTTCTCCTCATACCCCTCATTCTCCTCAAACTGCTGCACTGCTTCATGAAGTGTCATGAGACCTGCTCTTGCCTTGCACATGTTGAATGCATCATGTGGAAGAACCTTAGTCATGAAATCTGCTGCTTGGTCGAATGAACGGCAAAAGTTGACGGCGAGAACTCCCTTCTCTAGTTGCTCACGAATGAAGTGGTACTGCACCTCGATCTGTTTTGTACGCCCATGATGAACCGGGTTCTTGGAAAGAGCTATGGCTGAAGTGTTGTCCACGTAGAGCGGAGTTGGTTGAGTTTGCGGCTGCCTCAAGTCCTCCAAGAGTCCACGTAACCAGATTGCCTCCCTTGCTCCTTCGGTCATTGCCATGTACTCAGCTTCGGTTGTTGAAAGTGCCACACAACTTTGCTTGCGCGATTGCCAAGAAACAGCGGCACCACACATGAGGAAGATGTAGCCGCCGGTAGACTTGCGTGTGCTCAATTCTCCCGCCCAATCTGCATCGGTAAAGCCTTGGAGGGAGCTTGCATATGGGCTGGCTTGGAAGAGAAGACGATGATTAGAAGTACCTTTGAGATACCGAAGAGCTCGCTTGGCTGCATGCATATGAATAGGTGAAGGGGCACTCATGTGTTGAGCTAGCTTAGATACCGTGAATGCTAAGTCGGGCCTTGTGCATAGGGCTGCATACATGAGACACCCAACCTGACTTTGGTAGAGAGCTAGGTCTTGTGGGGATACCTTAAGTGAATTCTCACCATGATCCTCACTCTCCTCAAGACACAACTCCTTAATACCTATGATATCAAGGCTTGACTCTCTCTCTTCATAGGGCTGATGTGAAGGCAAAGGGACAAAGTTGGAAGGAAGTGGGGTAGGTGATGGCTTGCTATCATCAAGACCAAACCTCTCAAGGACCTTTTGGATGTATCTTTGCTGGAATAGGAAGATGGACCGTGTCTTACGATCTCTCACAATGTTCATACCAAGATAATGACTCGGCTCACCAAGATCGGTCATCGTGAATGCACTTGTGAGAATACCTTTCACCTTGTTGAGAAGATCAAGAGAACCTGAGACTAGGAGGAGGTCATCGACATATACCAAGAGCCAAATGTACTCCCCCTCACTCGTGTGCATGAAGTACAGAGCGTTGTCTCTCATGGACCTTGTGAAACCATGCTTGAAAAGTACCTGCTCAAGAGCATGATACCAAACCCGTGGGGACTGTTTGAGACCATAAAGGGACTTTACCAAGCGACACACTCGACCCGTACCGTCATCATAACCTTCGGGTTGTGCCATGTATACCTCTTCTTCCAAGACACCATAGAGAAATGCGTTCTTGACATCCATTTGATGGATATGGAGACCAAGATATGCGGCTATGGCGAGGAGGACTCGTACCGTGGTGTACTTTGCTACCGCAGCAAAGGTTTCGGTGAAGTCAAGACCTGGAATTTGGGAATAACCTTTTGCCACTAACCTTGCCTTGTACCTATCGAGGCTACCATCACCTTTTACCTTGATCTTGTACACCCATTTGACACCAATTACCTTCTTCCCTGGAGGTGGCTCAACAAGACGCCATGTACCTCGCTTCATGAGACTCTCAATCTCTTCTTCCTCGGCTTTCAACCAATGCTCTCTCTCGGGACTTGCCATTGCCTCACGACGACTCAAGGGCTCTCACGGAAGGTGTGATGCTGCCATGCATATTGCCTCTACCTTCTTGTGAATGCAATTCTCACTCTCCTCACATGTGCACCTTGATGACATGTCAACCATGAAAGTGAAGGGCTTTTTTACCTTGCGGACTCGTTTACCTTTACCAAACTCCTCACTTGGCTGAGACACATTAGTGGTAGGGTTCGGTCTCACAGTGTTTGATTGCGTTGGTGCGGTCATTTGCAACTGAGACAACGGCTGCGACATCGGCTGCGACGGCGGCACGGCTGCTTGTTCTTCTCCTGGCGTGGAAATATCTTGATTATCGGTGTTGACTTGAGGATTATGTATGGTGACTCGTGGCGGTGAAGCTGAAACGTTTGTCGGCATAGTTGGTTGTGAAGATGCTCTTGGTGGGGATCTTGAGACTAGAAGCTTGGGAATTGATGATGACGCTGCCTTGTCCAGAGGTGGTGATGGTTGGGGCTGGTTGGTGTTGTTGCTCGGTGTTGAAGATGGTGGTAACTGATGACGACCGAATCCGGGACGTGGGGGTGAAGTTGAGAAAGGTCTTGGGTGAAGAAGTGGACTGTTGGAGCTGGTGTTGGTGGTGACTCGCTGAAGTGATCCTCGTGCTATGAGCTGGCTTGACGTTGGAACAAGTGATGAACGTGTGGTATGAGAACGAGGTGTTGCGGTGACGGTTGACTTGTTGCTAGGAAGAGTCGTAGATGGTGTTGATGTAGGTACTTGGGGTCTTGTAGCTGTTGATTGCTGCTGCATGAGCTTCTGTAGTTGCCTCTGGAGTGATGGCTGGTGATGGGTTTGATGGCGTAGTGGTGGGCTGATCCGGTTGGCGTTGAAATTGTGAGGTTGGTGTTGATATAGCTGGCTGGTTTGTGACTGTTGGCTGCTGCTCCTTTGGTGGTGATGGAACGGTGACTTGCTGCGGTGGATTGTCTTCATTTGATGGCTGAACTTCATCTCCACTTGGTTGAGTAGCTGCTGGTGGCACTGCCGTGGCACGGCTGGACTCGTTGACGACGGTTTGAGGGAGATCGATGATCGGTCCGCTATGGTCAGAATCGGTGTCATCTTCTTCCTCCTCTTGTGTTGTTTCCTCAGGTGCGCTTGCTGGTTCCTGTTGGATAGAGGGTAGAGAGGAGGAAGAGGAAAACTTATGCCAACCTGCAAGGGACATGTCTTCATAGAAGACAACATCCCTTGAAACCACTTCTCGCTTGGTGACAGGATCCCAAAGGACCCATCCCTTGCTCTCATTGCTCATGCCGATGAAGAGGCCCCAATGAGCTTTGCTGTCCAGCTTGAGTCTCTTTGCATCTGGAACACGGTATTGGGCCATGGAACCAAAAACACGAAGCATAGACAGATCTGGTTTAACTCCAAACCAAGCCTCATATGGCGTTACACCATCCGGTAAGGGCCTTGTGGGTCTCCTGTTGCGAACATAAATTGCCATAGTGATTGCCTCACCCCACCAGAGCTTGTCAAGGCCTTTGAACTGAAGGAAAGTGGTAGCTATAGCCTGGATAGTGCGATGAAACCTCTCTGCCACTCCATTTTGCTGAGGACTATAGGGACAAGTGAACTGTTGTTTGATGCCCAATGCCAACAACTCCCCCTGAAACGCTTTCCCCATGTACTCACCTCCTCGATCCGACCTCAAGGTGAGTAACTTCTTCCCTGACTCTCTCTCAACAAGTGCTAGCCATTGCTTGAAACACTTGTGAACTTCATCCTTGGTGTTGATGAAAAAGGACCACGAGAAACGACTCTTGTCATCAATGAAAGACACCAAATATCTCTTACCGTTTCGAGTAGGGTCTCGCATGGGGCCGAAGACATCAGTGTGGACCAACTCTAGGAGGTCCCTTGACTGAGACTTAGAAGGGAAGAATGGCTTTCTAGCTAGCTTACCTTCCACACAAGATGGACATGGAACGGAAGAAAGGGACTTGACTGCACTTTCACTCAAACTCAATCCTTCCACGCTCTTGTGATTTACCAACTCTTTCAATGCTTGCACTCCCACGTGCCCCAAGCGTGCATGCCATACCTCAGCTTGGGAGATACTCCCTTTGTTGTTGACTTGATCGGTTGAAACAGCGGGAAGCGAGACAACGTCGTTCTTCGTGTTGCTAGCACCGCGCTTAATCTCCAACTTCATCTTGTAGAGCCGCCCGGTACGCTCGCCTTCAGCCACCAGATTTCCTGCACTGTCCCATTCTTTGGCTTTCCCCCCTTGCAAGAGAACGGAGGCACCTTTCTCTTCGAGTTGTCCGGCTGAGAGCAAGTTTGCTCCCAAATCAGGAACAAACAAAGCTTTATTGACACAAAATGACTTACCATCCTTTTCGAACTCAAGCTTGCCGACTCCTTTGATTGGTACTTTGCCAAGATCAGCAAGAGTCACAGCTTTTGAGTCATATGAGGGCTGAAAATCCTTGAGAATGGACTGATAGGGAGTCATGGTTTCAGAGCAGCCACTATCAAGAATAAACTCCTCACTACTAGTAGAGAAAACGTGCATGCAAGTAGCAGCGTTAAAAAGGACAGGACCATCGAACTCTTTGGACTCATCTTGACTTGTAGAATGACTTGCTATATTTGCTATGGCTGCCTTACCTTTTTCAGATAGTAGCTGAGGTGGGGGGACCCAATTAGGAGGCTTCTTAGGACAAGCATACCACGGGTGACCCCACTCATGACAACAAAAACACTCAAAATTAAACTTTTTAGCATTCGGGGCTTGGCTGAAATTATTGACTCTTGGCGTATTGACTCTTGCATTCCTAGGCTGGTATTGATTGGGAATCGAAGGCCTTGGCTGGACATAGGGACTGGACTTATAGGGAGGACTTGACTGAGGAAAACAAGAGGGTTTGTATGGGTTGGAAGGTGACTGAAATTTCGTACCGTAGTAGGGTTGAGGGCGGTTTGGGCTGAAATTTCCTTGCCTCTGGAATTGGTTGCCATATCTTGTGGCTGCTGCAGCACTCCACGCACCTTCGTCACTCCGCTTGTTCCGTGCAAGGTCTCGACTCTGCTGCTCGTTGACAAGGGCCTCAAAGATGAACGCACGACTCTTCATTGACTGCGGGAGCGCTTGTAGTGTTGCACGGAAAGTGTCCCACTCCGGTGTAAGGCTGGTGAGGATGACGGTCTTGATAAGAGACTCTGGAATCTCCAAGCCGATCGCTGCTGCTTCCTCCAACATTGCTTCAACTCGTTGTAGGTAGGCTTGTGCTGATTCATCTTCTTCCATCTTCAGATTCATGAAGCGGCTCCACATCTCGGCTTGGCTGCTCTCGGATTCTGAATGGTGCATAGTCTTCAGTCGGCTCCATGCTTCCTCTGCACTGTTTGCCTTGGTAGAACAGGGCAGGAGCGACTTCAACTGCTGCTCGTGAATGCTATTGAGTAGGTAGAGGAAGGCCTCCTTGTTGCGTCGTTCGTAAAGTCATTTTTCAGCTTCTGAAGCATTTGCTGCTGGTTTGGCTGCTTCTCCAGTGTAGTAAGGCCACAGATCCAGAAGGGATGCAGTGAGCTCAAACTGAGTTGCCCATGTTGGAAAATCTTTGCCGTTGAACTTGGGGAGGTGAAGCTTAGGCATGAAGGAGGTGAGTGGTGAGTATGTTGTTGAAGGACTGCCTGGTGCAACTGCTTCCACTAATCCAGTAGCTGCTGATGTTGACTCTGAAGCTCCTCCGGCTGGCTGGAGTGCAGGACCAGATGGATTGTCTCCCGCCATGTTCGTATGGTGCTAGGATAGGAACGTGGTGGGCTAGGTTGATCGAAACGACGAGCTCTGATACCAACTTGTAAAACAGAGTAGCTGTGACTACTGGAGGGCTGGAAACTTGGCTAGAAAGTCTTAGCAGGGCTGCTGGAATTGACTGGATGAGGTAAAACTTCACTATGTTTAAGATTGTCCAAGCCCACTAAGGCACAACTTCTTAAGCATTACAATCATGCAGATTGATAGCTCAAACTAGGCTGCTAGACAAGGCAACTTCCTGGAGAACTTAGGCACAATTCAGATTCCATGAACCTTGAGTGACTTGAGTGCCACATGAGGTGCATGAATAAGAAAGCTCTGGAATTCTCTGTCATAGCTGATTTTGTTTGGTAGAAACCTGTAGAAACTGTTGACACTTCTTCTTGAAAACAATTCCGAACTGTATCGAGAATTCGGCTCCAATCTGATTGGTTGAGAAACTTTCTGATTTGTCTGCGAAGCCTTCAATCCGTCGCCGACATTCCCCCCTTGCTGCTCCTTGTGTGCAAAGGGCTGGGGCGGCAGAAACTTGATTCTCCAACATCTTCCACCTTCTCACACATTCCTTCTTGATTTCTCTCTCCCTTCTCACGCTGTAGGCCGATTTCCACCGTTTCACCTAGAATCATCCACGCGCTTCCATTTCGCCGTCATTCCGCCGTCGTAGAGACTTTCGCCATAGGTTCCGTGGTTGGGCGAACCAACCCTAACAATCTCCCCTGTGGTTCGTCAACCACGAACTCCACTCGCACTCCTCCCCTGCTCCTTGTAGCCTTAAAGGACGTGCGTGTATCCCCCTTCCCTTTTGACACAGGTGCGGGACTTTTTGGCTCACATGGCATCACTGTCCCCCGAGGGTCGCCGCCCATCCATCACATGCGGCATGGCGGCGCCTCTAGCCGAGGTGATGGCGCTGGCAGCCACCAACCGCGTGCACCGCGTGTGGGTCACCGGGGAGGATGACGAGCTGCTGGGGGTTGTGTCGCTCACTGACGTTATTTCGGCTTGCAGAAGGGCAGGCGGGCAGCGGTAGGGTGCGATAGGGAGGACTGATAATTGGGGTACTGGATGGCAGAGGCGATGAAAGGCCGGGGCACCAGTGGGTGGAGGAGCGAAGGCATGAGTGGTGTGGAGGACGATGAGCTGCTAGGAGTGGTGTCGTTGACTGGTGTCATCTCTGCTTGCAGACGGGCAAGTGGGCAGCGGTAGATAGGTGGAGGTGAAGAGTGCTAGATAGGAGCCAGATACAGGGGAATGGAGTAGTATGGCAGGGGTTTGGACGGGGGAATTGGCGGCAGCGGCGATGGAAGGGCGGGGGGGCGCTAGAGGTTGGTGGGAGGAGAAAGTATGAGTGGGGTTGATGGCTCTGGCAGTGACCAACCATGTGCACCGCGTGTGGGTGACTGGGGAGGATGATGAGGTGCTGGGTGTGGTCTCCCTCACCAATGGCATCGCTGCTTGCAGAGGGGCAGCGATAGGGCGGCAAGGCAACAGGGCGGCTGGGAGACAGGGGGAGATGGAACCGGGCCTCAGGAAACCCTCCCCTGCTCTGGACTGGACAGAGTGGAGTGGCTGGTGGGGGCTGTGGAAGGGTGGGGATGCTGGTTGTTGGTGGGAAAACAAGAGAGCTGCTGCTGACCAACTGCTTGTACTTGGAAGCTCTGTGCGAGATTGGAGTCGCGATGCTTGCTGACGGCCTTGTGGCATGCACAAGGGCGGTAGGTGGGGAGAGGAGAGGGTAGCAGCAGCAGCACAATGATGGCTAGGTAGGGCATGTTACCAGTTGTTTCACTTGGGCAACATCTGATGGGAATATGCTGTATGTCCTCCAGACGAACGAGATGTACCGTCATACATGTTCCACGTCGTTTATTTGCTGGCAGTAAGGCGGCATCACCAGTACCGTGCATAGAGATGTCTGCAAAGCATGGGGAGTGCACAATTTCCTCATGTGCTTCCCTTGTTTACTTCATGTCATGGCATGGTAACAACGATTACCGGCAACTGAAGGACTTCATATCATCAGACAGACACTGTTGGGGAAGAAACGATGATAATCAAAAGACAAAAGGCACACAAGAGAATTACCAACTGCTAGGCCGTATCACGTGTGAGATACTACGGTATGTACCAGCAGAGACTTGATGACACACACTTCACCGTTGAAACGCCAGACTTGATCAAACAAAAAGGCCGAAGTTGACATAATGCTTTCAAATAAAATGGTGCCACCATGCACTCGAGCCATCACACATGTCATGTCTCCAAGTGCGCCTTGGTTGTTATCCGTCTCAGCGCAGGTGGCAGCAGCAGCAGCAGCAGCAGCAGCAGCAGCAGCAGCAGCAGCAGCAACAGCAGCAGCAGCAGCAGCAGCAGCAGCAGCAGCAGCAGCAGCAGCAGCAGCAGCAGCAGCAGCAGCAGCAGCAGCAGCAGCAGCAGCAGCAGCAGCAGCAGCAGCAGCAGCAGCAGCAGCAGCAGCAGCAGCAGCAGCAGCAGCAGCAGCAGCAGCAGAAGTGGTAGGCTAATCAGACGCTGTGAGTGCTGTGACGTCAGTGCTGCAGAGCAGATGATGATGCATGTCGCTAGGTGCTGTGATGTAAGCATGGTCATCCCTTGCTGGGCACAGGGAGCTACAGTACGATTGCAGGAAGGGGAAGGGAGTCAACTGCACCATTGGCAGCAGCATGAGTTCCACCCGCAACAGTAGCGCGAGTTGCAGCAGCAGCAGCATGACTTGCACGGGCAGCAGTAGCACGTGCAGCAGCAGCAGCAGCACGATTTGCACGGGCAGCAGCAGCACGTGCAGTAGCAACAGCAGTACCGCGATTTGCAGCAGCAGCAGCACGCATTGCAGCAGGGGCAGTAACACGCGTTGCAGCAGCAGCGGTAACACGCATTGCAGTGGGAGCAGTAACACGCGAGGCAGCAGCAGCAGTAACACGCATTGCAGCAGGAGCAGTAACACGCGTTGCAGCAGCAGCAGTAACACGCATTGCAGCAGGAGCAGTAACACGCGTTGCAGCAGCAGCAGCAGCAGTAGCACGCGTAGCAGCACCAGCGGCATTAGCACGAATTGCGCGAGCAGCAGCATCAGCAGCACGAGGAGGCGGTGCATGACTTGCATCCGCAGCAGTAGCACTTGTTGCTCGAGCCGCAATAGTAGGAGCAGGAACACGAGTTGCACCAGCACAAGCAACAAGGGTGGCAGCAAGAGGAGCAGCAGGAGCAGGGGCAGCAGGGGCGGCAGGAGCAGCAGGAGGAGCAGGAGCAGCAGGAGGAGTAGCAGGAGGAGCAGGAGGAGTAGCAGGAGGAGCAGGAGCAGCAGCAGAAGCAGCAGCAGGAGTGGCACTTTCTGGAGCTGGTGGTCCATCCATGAGGGATCTGTCACGACGGTTCTGGCTCCAAGAAAAATATATCAGCAAGGGTGCAATAAGCAAATAGGAATGGCAAGGGCGTCAGATCAAGACCATTGTGGAGTCGAATGTACACAAAAAACAAGCTCCATTCACATCTCCAAAACAACTAGGTGTAAAAATGCTTAAGCAAAATCATTAGCAACGTGGTGCTGCAGAACTGCAACAGTAAGAACAAATATCGATTCTAGATTGCAAGAAGAACTTTACAGAGTCCCCCCTGTTCGCAATGTAAGGACAAGTACTGATGACTGCAAGAGCATACTTGGCTCCCATGATGAAAATTTGACACATAACAAAAAGAACCACACCACAACAAACCAGGCTGGCAGCAGATTGGTGGGAAAGATCACCTCGATGACGACGTATTCGGCATCACATTCTGTGTTCAAAACAGCCAGCACACGATCCAGCAGCTCGTGACAATCGATCTCAGATCCCGCCTCCACCCACAGCTTAACACGCGACTCAGTTGGAACAACATCCTCCATAGGAGGATATGGCCTGGCAGTTGTCCTCCTTATTCCGTAAACATGTCCCTAAAGAGACAATAGTAGAAATAACAAAACAAAGTTATTCCAAACCCGAAGCAATACAAAAAAAAAACAGAACAGCACGTTCCAGAGAGAGAGAGAGAGAGAGAGAGAGAGAGAGAGAGAGAGAGAGAGAGAGAGAGAGAGAGAGAGAGAGAGAGAGAGTGTGTGTGTGTGTGTGTGTGTGTGTGTGCGTGCGTGCGTGCGAGCGTGTGTGTGTGTGCGAGTGTGCGCGCGCGCGCACGAGAGAGTGGGTGAGAGAGAGAGGGGAAGAGAGAGAAGAGAGGGATAACGGAGAGGGAAGGAGGAGAGAACAGCAGAATTGCAGTTGCGTGCACCTTGGCGCAATGGTAGTTAACAAAGGCAGGAAGCTTGAAAACATTCTTGGTGTTATTATTGAAATAGAGGATGGACTTTGATTGTGCATTGTCCACTGGACGAAATTCAACAACCTGCCAAACACGGTCATAAAAAGTCATCAAATGAAAGCACATGTTGCTTTTCACAGGCTTAATGGTGCAAAAGAGGGTATGCTATTCTCTGAACTCACTTGGGATTCACAAAATGGACACAATTCGCCTTCTACGAAGAACTCTGCACTATAGGTTAACGTCCTGTTGGAAAGGTGAAGTGGTGGATGTTATTTGTAACAAAGAGCATGGTTGTAAAACTAATGATAAATAAATAAAGATCTGGCTATAAGGTGGCGTGGTGCCATGCACGGGCTCTGATCCTATACGGCTCGAAACAGGCCCCAGATCCAAACAACAAAAGATCCCGTTGCACACACCATCACGGCATTTTAAGCGAATAGGGAGGAAATGGAGCTTACTGTGAGCTTACGAAACCACACGAAAATCCTTGCACGATACGGATGCCCAGGTCGTCAAACACTCCCTCAGTTTTCCGGCACATGCAAGCATCTGAAAGCACAAACTGGAAACCGCTGATAAGGGTGAGAAAAATCGTAGGAGAGCGGAGGTGTGGTCCGCCAAAGGCGTGCTCTTCCGCGTCAGGCACGGCTTGCCAATCATCAGAAGCCGTGTTGTCACTGTCGTTGGCATTGTCGTCTCTCCACGGTTTAGTTTTTCTCCCTCTCAACATTGCGCGCCTGACGCCCGGGCACCAATTTAACCACTTTCCGAAGGCTTTAATATCAACGCTTTCCATATTGTTCACCATTTGCTGAAAACTCTCAAGATCGAAGAACTCATCGTTATCCCTGATCTCGACTGCTCTTATCAGCTGGTCACGGCAGTGCCAGTAGCACAGCTGCTCGTCCGCCATACGTCTGAACTTGTTTGAGAGACTTGCGAGTCGAGCAATGAGTGGTCCCGTCGGTTGAGCACGCTCGAGAATGTCGTAAACCAGCTCAGCAGGAAGAAGTTCCATGATGCTCGAATGTCCAACAAACAGGTTCTGGGCTGAGGAGGAACGAAAGACTTCTGAAGTTTTAAAAGGCTGAGGCTAAAGTGGAGGAGAATGTTCTGCTGCCAAAGATGGGAGCAGTCGAGGAAAACTGTATCTGACAGGGAATGCGACACGGCATTGTCCCAATTGCCCGGAGAGGTGGCGATCGTCTAGAAGTGCGAACGGGATGACGATTCTTTGGGCCATTGAAACCTTCGATGCGCGAGTAATGACCTCGGGGTTATACTCGGGGAAAGCTAATCTCGATGCTGGAACCAAAGAGAACTGTCGAGACGCAAATCAGGATTACCTAATCTCTATGTTGAAGCAATGATGCTCGACAACCTCAGCAGTAGGAAAATGGCGTGGCGAAACCTGCACTGAAACTGCGTTTGCGAGGACAGCTCCTCGCAAGGAACTCGAGGCCTGAAGTGGCTGGCGAACGAACATGATGAGCAAGGGTTACGTGGGAATTTCGGATTTGGCCTGAAAGTAACGCATTATACATGCTTAGGGCGTGTCCAGCGCGTACGTTTTCCGTACATTACAGTTCATCCAGTGCGGTAATCTGTATTGCGTCACGTCTCAAAACGGTGCAATTTCAAAACCGCTGTGCACCGTTTGATATCTTTTCAAACCACGACAAATGAACTGTATAGTACCTGTAAAAGTACGCGCTGGACTCGCCCTTAGTCATGTTCCCTTGTTCAATTTACTGTTCTCCTGCCAACACATTTAGCCTCAGCCTTTGCATACCTGCTTTTGCCATCGTGTCTGGCATGTGCAATGTATCTACATGGCCACTTTGTTTCTCTATTATTCAACCAATTAGGGCTACTGCACCCCACTCTCAACTGATGGCTCAGCATTGGTGTTAGAAGGCACATAGTACATACTGATTTCTCAAGACTTATGTAATGAAGTCATATTAGGATTCGCTACAGAGACGCAAAGAGATGCACAGCATCCTCCCCATTCCACGCCGTTGTACACATTACAGGCATCCACCACCTCTGGTACCGTAATATCCACTTCTTATTCTCACCATACATTCAGGAATCACCTCCTGTCTTTCCTGTGCAAGCACGCCACCACTCCCTTCCTCCCACCACCACCCGTCCGCTCATCCACCTTCACCCACACGTCCTCTGCCCCCACACACACCCACCGGCCCTCCCCACCGCCCACACAATGCCCTTCCCTGTCACCGTCACCAGCAGCGGCCACCACAGAGTCATCCAATGAAGGTGGCACGTATTCCTGCCCCACTGCACCCTGCCCCGCCTGTCCCTGCCCCACTAGCCCCTGGCCCACCTGGCCCTGCTCTAATGGTCCCTGCACCGCCAGGTGAGCCAGCACAAAGTGGTGCAGCGACGGGGCTGCACCTGCATCCCTTCCCCCCATCACTTCTCCCACTGCTACTTCATCCCCCCCCTCCCACCGCACCTCATCTTCCCACACCACTGCTTCTGCTGCTTTAACCCTTTCCACTCCCCCGTCTCCACCGCACATCTCCCCACACCCCTCCCCATCCACATGCCCCTCGCCACGCCCCTCCCCATCGTCACCCCTCACACTAGCCACCACACGTTGTAGTAGCATCTCAGCAAGTGAGGTATCATCTGTCGCACACCCTGTTTGCACCGGCACCTGCGCCTCCCTCTCTCCCTTGCCATCCCTCGCATCACCCATCTTTAACCCCTCCATGCCTCTGCATACGCCTATCGCTATACCCTCCGACCCACTGCCCCCTCTCCCTTCCACTCCTTTCAGGTACGGCAGAAATAGTCCTGGGGTTGCGTCGAGTGGCTCCGAACCAAGAGCCGGGTACACTGCCAAGCCTGGCCCAGAGGTTTGGGTGAAATGCTCCTCGTCAAGAGAGACTATCCGCGGCACAACTGCAGAATTGAGAAACACTGTGTGGCTGCTGGCTTGGGCGCTGGGATAGGTGCTGCGATGGGTGCTGGCATAATTGGTGGAGGGAGAATGAGTAGTAGTACGAGCAGCAGACACAGCGAGTGTGGCTGGGGGGGCAGCGACGTTATGCTGAACTGCAGGCGGAGTGGCAGCGGCTGGAGGGGAATCAGCAGACGAGGGGAAAGGTGGGGTATGAGGGTGCAGCAGCACAGCAGCCATGCGCCGCTGCGTGACAGCCTCTCCTTGCCGCGTGGTGCGCGAGCGGTAGTTGAAGGGGAAGAGGTCGCGGTGCATGTGGCCAAACACCACCAGTGGGATGTGCCGCCCGTCCTCCAGCGATGCTGTGATCGCCCTGGATAGATCTGGAGGGACGATGTGCGTGGACAGACGAGAGAAAGAGCGGTCGAAGGATGGCAACGCATTTGCATGCGCATGCGGTTGAAGGAAAAGGGCGGCGGAGCATGTGCATGTGTATGTGCATGGGCATGGGCATGTGCATGTGCATGGGCATGGGCATGTGCAAGTGCATGTGCATGTGCATGTGCAAGTGCATGTGCATGTGCATGTGCATGGGTATGGGCATGTGCAAGTGCATGTGCATGTGCAAGTGCATATGCATGTGCATGTGCATGGGTATGGGCATGTGCAAGTGCATGTGCATGTGCAAGTGCATATGCATGTGTATGTGCATGGGCATGGGCATGTGCAAGTGCATGTGCATGTGCAAGTGCATGTGCATGTGCATGTGCATGGGTATGGGTATGGGCATGTGCAAGTGCATGTGCATGTGCAAGTGCATGTGCATGTGCATGTGCATGGGTATGGGCATGTGCAAGTGAATGTGCATGTGCAAGTGCATATGCATGTGCATGTGCATGTGCATGTGCATGGGTATGGGCATGTGCAAGTGCATGTGCATGCGCAAGCGCGTGTGCGTGTGCGCGTGCGCGTGCGCCTGCGTGTGCGCCTGTGCCTGTGCGTGTGCGTGTGCATGTGCATGTCCGTGTGCATGTGCATGTGCGTGCATCTGGTTGAAGAAGCAGGGATGGCCAGGGACAGCAGCGGGATGCACACATGCCAACCACAGGCGATGTGATTGCTAGTGAGAAGCGTGCTTAGGGGGGAGGAGCGAGCGGATATCTCATGGTGCATGCAGCGGATATGTCATGGTGCATGCAGCGGATATCTCATGGTGCATGCAGCGGATATGTCATGGTGCATGCAGCGGATATCTCATGGTGCATGCAGCGGATATCTCATGGTGCATGCAGCGGATATGTCATGGTGCATGCAGCGGATATGTCATGGTGCATGCAGCGGATATGTCATGGTGCATGCAAGGCCCACCTTCCCCACCTTACGCCCCCACCCTCCCTCTCACCTTCGTCCCCAAAGTCTCCTCCTGGTGGCAGCCCCTTGGAGGGAAAGTCCTTGCCACAGATGTCCCACGGCTGAGATCCCAAGCCTGGAGAGGTGGGGAGAAGGGCGATGGCAGGAGAAAGAGAAGGCAATTGAAGTGAAGCGTTGATGGCAAACGCCATGGCATCCCATGCACCACCGTTGTGAGTCTAGGCGTGAACAACTTTGCTGGGAGATGCTTGTGCTGCTCTAAAACCAGGCATGGAGTTGCATTTGTGGCACTGCAGCAGGACACCCCACCACCCCACCACCAACCCGTCTCACCGGCGGGCCCGTTGTGTGCGAGAACGACAACGCTGTGTGAATCTGGTGCTGCTCGGATGGTCTCTGTGATCTTTGCCGTGCTGGCGTTCATGGTGCGCACGCCGCACCTGATAGCGCGCGTGTGTGGGATGGATGGGCGCATTGCTGGAAACATTGCGGTGAGATGCTGGTGCTTCCCTGAGCGTCTCTGTGATGTTTGCCGTGCTGGCGTTAATGGCGCGCATGCCACACCTTATGAATGTGTGACCAGTGCCACACCTTACAGCTTCCCTTTGTCCCCACTGCAACCTCTCTGTAGTCTGCCTGCGCCACTGTTGTAACATCAGTGCACCTGCCAGCCATCCAGTCATTCCCGCATCTTGGAACCTCTCTGCACCTCTCTGCACCTTGCCACACCTGTGCAGACCCCACCTGGCGCGGTAGAACCCCACCTGGCGCGGTAGAACCCCACCTGCCTTCAGCTGCCATCAGTAGCACCTGGCGCGGTAGAAGCTCTTGGCCCAGCTGGAGGGGCCGTAGGAAAAAGGCCGAATTTTGAACCGTCTCTAACCCCTCTGCACCTTGCCACATCACCCCTCACCTGGCGTGGTACATCACATCTCACCTGACGCGGTAGAAGCTCTTAGCCCACCTGGCGCGGTAGAGCCCCACCCCACCTGGCGCGGTAGAGCCCCACCCCACCTGGCGCGGTAGAGCCCCACCCCACCTGGCGCGGTAGAGCCCCACCCCACCTGGCGCGGTAGAGCCCCACCCCACCTGGCGCGGTAGAGCCCCACCCCACCTGGCGCGGTAGAGCCCCACCCCACCTGGCGCGGTAGAGCCCCGCCCCACCTGGTGCGGTAGAGCCCCGCCCCACCTGGCGCGGTAGAGCCCCACCCCACCTGGCGCGGTAGAGCCCCACCCCACCTGGCGCGGTAGAGCCCCGCCCCACCTGGCGCGGTAGAGCCCCACCCCAACTGGCGCGGTAGAGCCCCACCCCACCTGGTGCGGTAGAGCCCCACCCCACCTGGCGCGGTAGAGCCCCACCCCACCTGGCGCGGTAGAGCCCCACCCCACCTGGCGCGGTAGAGCCCCACCCCACCTGGTGCGGTAGAAGCTCTTAGCCCAGCTGGAGGGGCCGTAGGAGAAGGGGCGCGCTCCCACGATGGACAGGTGCCACCGGGGGAGGTCCACCCGCCCGTACCCCACGTGCAGACTGCCTAGGCTGGTGGGTGGGGGGGAGGGGGGAAAAATGATGGGGCAGGGAGAGGTAAGGAAGAGTGTTCACGGTGATGGACAGGTGGGACTGGGGGAGGTCCTTACCGTACCCCACGTGCAGGCTGCCCCAGGCTGCCTCGTGCGGGCTGGAAACATGGGGATGGGGAAGAAAGAGTGGAGCAAGGTTTTGATGCTGTGCTATATGTTATAGCAGAACGATTTAGATCAGGGACGAGCAGACGTAAGAGTGAAGGGATGATAGCAAGAAAAACAGGAGCAGGTGAAACATGGTGACAAGAGATTATGACATCCGATAAGAGACAATGAGAATAAACTGGAAAGCAGGAGACAGGAGCAAAGGTGAGCAGGTGAGCGAGAGCCCGAGGGAGAGCGTACGCTTCAAGCTGCTGAGTGAGCTTATCCACCGCATCCACCAATGGCGCACTCTCCTTCCTGCACATAGAAGCCGAGATGGCAAGGGATGGACGGTACAGGCGAGAGAAAGAAGGATACACGAAAACCTGTCTCGTGGCGCCATGCTAGAATGCTGAACGGAAGTGAGTGGGTGTGTTAATTGGTAATTCAGGGTCGACTCAAATGTCATCTTGTGCCATGACACATGGTGCACAGCATTAGGAGGGTGCAAGGTTTGAGGCACACAGGATTCTGCAGACCGCCTGCGTGACATCTTGCATTTCTGACCGCTCAACATTTCCCGCGTGCATTTCTGACCATGTTCAGGTGTGGCTGTTGAGCTCAGGTGGTTCTGACCACCCGCATGACATGTTGCAATTCTAACCATGTTGCGCTGGAACCACCTGAGCTCACCAGCCGCACCTGAACATGTAAAACTACCTGGAAATGTGGAGCCACATGACCATGTGGACGCACAGCACCTGACATGTGAAAGCACCTGAACATGTGGAATCACCTGAACACCTGAGAGCACCTGACCACCTGAGAGCACCTGAACACCTGAGAGCACCTGACCACCTGAGAGCACCTGACCACCTGAGAGCACCTGACCACCTGAGAGCACCTGAACACCTGAGAGCACCTGAACATGTGGAACCAGGCGTCATGGTTGCCGAGAATGACTGCCACCTCCACCTGCGCGCCCACAGCGCCCATCATGGCCTTCACTGCCGCCACCTGCTGCACCAGCTGCACCTGCTCCTCTCCAAAGTCGCCTATAAAAAAACGGTTGAGACCATAGGGTGGTGCGTGCATGCAAGGGTGATGAAAGGGTGTACACAGAATGACGGTTTTTGAGGCGCCTGTCTGCTTGCTGCGTGCAGGTATATACACACACAGCACTGTGCCACAGTCCAATGCTTTCTATGATTCTTGACACACCAGATTATCTTATGACGAGTAATCGCACTAGAAAAGAGGAAGCTGCAGCTGTGGTGGCAACAGCAATGCGAGAATGCACGCATAGGGGGGAAACGTGGAAGTCAAAAGGAGGGAGATTGGCTGGAAAAGAAAGGAGAAGAGTCACGAGGGGCTAAAAAGCAGGCAAGCAAGCAAGGTCTGGAAGGAGCATGTACGCACCAACAAAGAGAACGATGTCTGGCTGGCTCGAGCGCACATGGGGGGGTCGCACAGAGTATGGCATTGGGGGTAAGTGGGGAGGGAAGGGGGGAAGGAAGGAGGGGAAGGGGAGGAGGGTAATGCGCAGGGAGGAATTTGAACAAGGTGGGATGCGATGCGATGTGGCAAGGGACAGGCTTATGAAAATTCGCGAAAAAAAAAAAAAGAAAAAAAAGAAAAAAAAAAAAAAATCGACGATTGGAACGGGGAGGAAACATTGACGTGGGATTGGGATGTGGGCGCGTGAGGGAGTAACAAAGGATGGGGTTGATTGGGTCAGGTGGGAAGGAGACGCTGCAAGTATGAAGGAAACAAGACGCTAGTGATATTCACACATGCAGCAGCAGCACGATGGATGGCCCGGTCCAGGATTACCAGATTGCTTTGAAAGAGGAGGTCATGTGAGCTTGGCTTGAAGGCTGAGTTTCGGTGGGTGGGACCGAGAAAACGAGCAGACGAGCAAGCAAGCATTACCTTGAGGAGCTTCAGAGCAGCCAGATCCCTCCACGGATGCCACATGCCGTGCTGTGATTGACGACGGGGAAAAGGACAGGTGAGCAAGCAAAAGCACATGCTGGGGATGACGTCATCAAGATGCATGTAACGGATTGTCTTTTTAACAGAGTTCCGCATACTGCATGCATTGGCCTTACGACGACACCTTCATTGGTTCACGGATGGGGTAGGAGGGGAGGAAAAGGGGGGTAGGTGTAATTTATTAGACTGTAACAGAAGCTCGAAAGCATGCACGCATGCACGAAACTGTACTACAGAGAATGAAATGATGGAGACCCAAGGCCCAGCCAGGCCATGAGCGTTGATATTCATCACTGCGCTATGAGCTAGTACACATACACAATGAGAGGAGTATGTGTATCTCGTGCTGCCACGTGGCAGAGGCCCTGCTCCAGTGCCCACAAAACACTATCACCCTGCAGCGATTGCTGCTGTCAGCTCACCACATTTCCAATTCACAGCTCACCACATTGCCTATAGTCACCCACTCACCACATCGCCTATAATCACAATTCGAAGCCTCCCACCGCTCCTCGGACCGCCCCCCGTAGCCTCAACGGTCCCAGTTGCTGTGATTCCCTCCTCCCCTGTCCGCATTTGCCTCCCATCCACGCCAGCATCCACCCTAGTTCGTGATAGGCAATCGCCCCCCATGGCACTTGAAGACACGAATACCGCCGCGATAGTCGCAGGTTCATGTAACACTGACCTGCCTTCGTCAACTGTCGCTAAGGGTCGCTGATTAGTCCCTCGCAAAGAAGCTAAACTGGGTGAAGGGAAGGAACGGAAATTGGGCTGCGAGAAGGAAACGCAGCGAGCGCTGAAATAACCCGCGATACCTTGCAACGGAGGACAGAATTGGTAACAGGAAGGAAATTTTGACCCAGCGTTAATTATTTTGCATCTATCATTAATCACGGTGCGGGCAAAGGCTGGTCGTATTGGCGGACAAGCAATACCGAGTGAGAAATTATGCAATGGCAGGGTTCGCATGGGCTCGTGAATTGCAGATAACATTGCCTATACCCGTAGCGCCCACTGACACTGCCGCGATTCGGTGCGAGGGGTTGCCGAGTGCGGCGTGAGCGGGCAGTCGTGCGGGGTTTAGGAGATCAAGGGACAGCGGTAGGCGTGTTGGATACGCTACTGGCGCCACGTGGCAGTACACAAGAACGCTTGGAAGTCATGGCTTTCCTAAGTTAATTCGTTATGGATGATAAGACGGTGCATGGCTTGTGAACACTTTTGTAGAACCTTTCATACCATAAGCCCTTTCGCAAAACCTTTTGGTACAACGTTTCGCAACGCTACCGCCAAATAGCTCTTGTAGATTTCCCGCCTGATCAAGCATGGTGTTCTGATCACAGTGCTGCCGGATTGATGCTACACTGGAGCCCTGCCCTTGCTGCTGCTGCTCAATTGGTCCACAAGAAGGTGCATGCAATCGTCTAGTTAGTAAGCGGAAAGTCAAGAGGTGGAGAGCGAGTAGTAGCCGTTGAAGTTGATCTGTGTGAGCAGCTTGTGCACTTGCGGTGTTGACACTGAATGGTGCAGCATCCCCACCGACAGATACACCGCACACGCCTTCGCATCCAGCTCCTGCCCAGAGGGTGAGAAGGAGAGGAGGGAGAAACGATGGGAGAATGGGAGGGAGGGAGTGAGGGAGTGAAAATCAGATGGGTCCCAGCCCAGCTCACATGGCAGCAGCAGCAGTGGCGATAATGTCAGGGGGAGCAGCGGCACAAGCACCAGAAGCAGGTCCAGCAGCCAGGGGCCGGCGGAGGGGCAGGCGGAGGGGCAGGCGGAGGGGCAGGTGACAAGGGCATTGGGCAGAGTGTTACAGGAAATAGCTGTGCAGCTAACCCTACAGTTTACCCCTACACACTTGTGCAAGAGCAAAGAGCAGTGAGCAAAACAGGAGGGTGCACCTTGCGCATGTCTTGCAGCAGTGGGAGAGGCAGCGGTGCAGAGTGGTGGAGGCGGCGGCAGAGCTTCATGGCGAGCACGAGCAGCGAGTGCAGCGGGCGCGTGAAGTGTGTGTTGCCCAGCATCACATGGCGCTCCAACGATGCGAGGAAACTGCAAGATTGGGATGAGAGATGGAGATGAGAGATAGCAAGAAGGAGGGTGAGTGCAGTGCGTGTTGCCCAGCATCACATGGCGCTCCATCGATGCGAGGAAGCTGAGTGCAGGATGGGAAACTCAAAACAAGGAGCGGATGAGGGTCGCGGTGAGAGATAGCACAAGAGAGAGTGAATGCGGAGCTCAAAGGAACCTGGAAAGCGCGGCTGCACAACAACACATAGTTTCTTCTGAGAATTCTCATCAGCAACTCAAGATAGATCAAGCGAGGGCGTGAAGTGGCAATTGAGGGACGACAGGACGGCACGACCGGAGCAACGTCTATGAAAACATGCCATTAGTGTGAAATGGCACTGATAGCTTGAGAAAAGTGGGGCAGGGGGCGCATGGCATGTGAGAAGAGGAGGGTGCACCGGTCATGTGCGGCGAGCAGGAAGGAGAAGTCGGGGTTGGCTCGGATGGAGGCGAGGAAGGCCGCCCACTCCACCTCCACCACGTCCGCCTGTGGAGGTGAGGGACGAGAGAGGGCCAGGCGTGCGTGGCACCAGTGAGTGGCGAAACAGAGAGTCGCGAAACAGGGTAGCATAAGTACATGCAGATTACCAGCACATATACATGGAAGTAGCACACATATATGCAGCAGCGTGAACATAAACGCATGCAGGCAGCACACACGCACATGGAGGTACGTCTGCAGGCTGGTGACGATCTGCAGCATCTCCTTGAGCATCATGCACAGCATCAGATGCTCCTTGCGCTCTGACAGCGATATGCGCACCACTCCACTGCTGCCCCCTCTCCCACTCCCCGCCACTCCCACACTGCCTGCCGCCACACTTGTGCTTCTAGTGAAGCCAGCAGCAGCAGCAGCAGCAGTAGCAGCAGCGGTAGCAGGGCCAGCATCAACGCCACCGCTCCTGACAGCCTCCCCACTGCCAGCTGGCAGCGACCAAGTCCGCTTCATCTGCCCCTCCTCCTCGCCCCTCCCGCTCCCCACCGCCTCCCCTCTACCTTTCCCCTGAACCCCTCCCACCCCTGCGCCTCTCAAACCCCCTTCTCCACCCCTCACCCCTTCACCCCTCCCAGCCACCACGCCACGCGGCCCTTTCTCAGGCAGCCCTCGCATCCTGGCCCCTTCGGGCCTGACCTTGCACAGCAGCAGCCAGGCAAGCTGCAGCTCCAGCGCCACGCGGCGCAGGCGGAAGAGGAACGCCGCCACGCTGTTGTAGCGCTGCAGGGCGGCGGGGGACAGCACCAGCTGTAGCGGCCATGCCACACGCGTGTTCATCTCCAGCCGGTCCCACCAGTTCACACTGCCGCTGCTGCCACCGCCAGCTGCTCCTGACTGGGTGCTCTGACTCTGCCCCCGCCCCTGTAGCTGCGCCTGCCCCTCCACCCTCCCCTGCGCCTGCCCTTGCCCCTGCGCTTGCCCTTGCCCTTGCCCTTGCCCCTGCCCCTGCGCTCCCCCCTGTGCGCGTCCCGGCCCCTGCTGCGGTGTGGGCAAGCCAGCCTGCAACACCCCCTGCACGCGTCGTTCACCTGACTCCACCCCCCTGAGCCGTGAAGAAGACGGGTCGAACGGGGTCACCACCAACCCTGGACCCCCGGCACCTCCTCTTGCTAATGCTGCCGTTCCTGCCCCTGCTCCTCCTCCTCCTCCTCCTCCTGCTGCTGCCCCTGGTGTTCCACCTGCTATGTCGGCTGCTGTTCCCAGTCTTGACAGGCCTGCTGCTGCTGCCTCTGGTGCTGGCTCTGCCGCAGCTGGTGTGGCAGGCGGGGCTGATGGCTGAGCGGACGGCTGAGCAGATGGCTGGGCGGATGGTTGACCAGATGGTTGAGGCCTTGTCAGGTCAGGGGGGATGAACCTGGACACATGCAAGTTGCACACCGTTTGATGCCATGCCACACCATGATGTATCATGATCCCACACCATGCCACACCATGCCATGCCCATGACAAGCAATACAAACCAATGGCATCCTTGGTTTTCAGTGCCACAACTCATCGAATGCACCACAACTGCAATCATGCTAGGTTCTTCGTTCCTCTAGCGTACCCGTGCATTGCTGAAGTTCAAGGGAGGAAAGGTCAAAGAGCAACGTGCTCACGTGGGACGAGAGACGAGTCCTCGCTAGAAGGGAAGTGCATATATAACTTGCTTGCAGAGTGCTTTATGAGAATGTTGGACCACATGGAGTGGGAGCAGAGCGAGACAGGGCGTTACTTGAAGGAGAATGTGCGGAAGTACTTGAGAGTCGCCTCCTCCCCGATGCATGCTGATGCCTGGCGGGTGGGCGAGCGGTGGGCATGAGAGAAGGCATGGGAGATAGGGAACAAAGGCATGGCCGAGGGGGGAAATGAAAGGGCGGTAATTGGAAGTGGTTTGAATTGAATCTGAGGCATGATGCACGAGTGGGAGAGAATTGTAACTTGTTCAAATCTTGGTCAAGGCATCAGCAGCACCTGTGTCATCGTGCCCATCACTCCATTCCATTGCACATGTTCCATTCCACACCATCCCATTCCATCCCATCACAACAACAGACCAATTTCACTCATAAGCTCCAATGCCGCCATACCAACGGAGGCAGTGGTACGGACCAACAGCACCACCATCCACCGCTTGCTACTGGCTGTCCTGGTCACACAGGACAGAACATGCCAGACAATGCCAGACTTCCCCACCTTCTCAACAGCCAGTTGCAGCTTGTCGTTGGCAACCCTAGCCCTCACGTCTGGCTGTGCCAGCACCTCCCTCAGCGACTGCCACACGCTCTGTGAGAAAGGGAGGGGTGGGAAAGGGGAGGAAAATGCGGGCTTTGATGACTCAAAACAAGTTACGATACGTCTCAAATGCAGTCTTCTTTCACCTGGGCCTCTCTCTCCTCACGTCTGGCTGTGCCAGCACTTCGTGCACTGACTGCCACATGCTCTGTGACACAAGCAGGTGGGAGAAAGGAGGAGAGAATGCGGGTTTTGATGTCTCAAAACAAACATTTCAGACGTCTCAGAACAAGCCCTCTTTCCCCTGGTCTTCATGTCTGCCTGCCGTGCCAGCACCTCCCACAATGGCTGACAGCCGCGCGGCGCGCGCTCTGCGAGACAGGGAGGGGCGAAGGGGGAGGGCAGAGAGGGTTACACAAAATCCCCATGCAAGTCTTCTTTCTCGTGGGCCTCTCCGCACGCACGCCTGGCTGTGCCAGCACTAGCACAGCACCTCCCTCAGTGGCAAACAGCTGCAAGAAAAGTGATATGATCTTTCAATGAAGTGACTCCTGACCGAAAATCAATCCACAAGAGGCCTCGCCCTGCTCACCTGCATGAAGGCGCCCCCTCCCCCCAGCAGGAAGTAATGCACTGCATGGAGATGGCCAAATAGGTCGCTCTCCCTCACCACCAGCTGCCATGGGAGCAGAATGGAGACATGGAGCAACAATGGAGGGAGAAAGAGGAGGGAGGAGGGAAGGGGATTGATGAGAAGGAAGGTGATGACGTGCTAGCTGGCGTGCAGATGGCCAAGAGGTCACTCTCACTCTCCCCCACCACCAGCTGCCAGAAGGACAGCCGGAAGACATGGACCAACAAAGGGGGAGAGGAGTGGAGGGCAGTTGAGGGGGGTTGACGAGGTGGAAGGTGATGACATGGTAGCTGGCGTGCAGATGGGCAAGAGGTCACTCTCACTCTCCCCCACCACCAGCTGCCAGGGGAGGAGCAGGGAGACATGGAGCGGCGAAGGGAGGGTGGAAGAGAAAGTGGGAGGTAAGGTGATGGTTGGCGGGTGGCGTGTAAATGGTCACTCTGTGCCCCCACCAGCTGCTAGGGGCACACTGACCGGCAGGGGGAGGCAGGGGGGTCGAAAAGAGGGGGAGAGGCGAGGGTGGTAGGGTGACAATAGCTGGGGGTGCAGATGTGCACGAGGTCACTCTCAGCCACCACCGCTGTCAGGGGGACAGCAGGGAGACATGCAGCAGCAGCGGGGTATGGAAGGGAAGGTGGTGAGGTGATGTGATGGCAGCTGGCTGGACGGTGGCTAGGAGAGGTTGCTCTCTCTCAGCACTGCCATTCCCCTTTCGCCACACACGATTGTCAAGGACGGATTCTTGACACGGAAACAAAGGGAACGAGAAGAAAACAAGACGAAAAACGCCTCAGCAGCACACCTGCTCAAGCACACTTCTCGTTGCCGGCACCAGAGAATATATATACACGCATGCACATACATTAAGAGAACAAAGACCATGAACATACCTGCCACAGGCGGCGCGCGGCTCTTTTCCTGGCCGCCTCCACCACGTCGTGCACCCGCTGCTCGCCCCATGCGTGCTTCGTGCGCCCCTTCTGGCCCCACACGGTGATTTGAATGGAGATGGGAAAGCGGGGAGAGGGGAGGGGGGGGTGGAGTTGAGACGATATTTCTGAAATATCGCCCCTGTTGGCCCCACATGGTGCTTCGACTGGAAGAAAGGGGAGGGACAGGTGAGAGTCGCATGTTAGAGGGGAGCCGTAGGAACGGTATGCGATGACATGACACTGCATACATCCCCATGGTATCATAGCTCTTCTTGTGACGGATGATGGAAGCTGGGATCAGAAACGCGACGACCAGGATGGGAAATAGGGTAAAACAACCATCACAACCATCGCAGCCATCACAGCCATTACAACCATCACAGCCATCACAACCATCACAGCCATCACAGCCATCACAGCCATCACAGCCATCACAGCCATCACAACCATCACAGCCATCACAGCCATCACAGCCATCACAGCCATCACAACCATCACAGCCATCACAGCCATCACAGCCATCACAGCCATCACAGCCATCACAGCCATCACAGCCATCACAGCCATCACAGCCATCACCATGGCAGCCTTATCCTGACAGAATGCCTCACAGGGAGTATCAGACTCACCTGGAGTGCCAGCACACTGCTGCATTCTCTCTCATCAACAACGCGTGTGTGCCATCACACCTGCCCGCCCCTCCCTTGCTCCGCACACACTCACGCGTACAGCCAGCCAGCACACTGTGGCATCCCCCCTCATTGTCTCACAGCGTTGAGGCACTCACGCGCAGAGCCAGAACACTGTCCAGGATCCTCTTCACGTCTGCCTCGTGCTTCTGCTGCCTGCTGCTGCCCGCCCCTCGCCCGCTCAGCTCGCCCTCACTGCGCCGCCCCGCCTCCTGCAGCAGCAGCATCGCTCGCCCCACAAACAGCGCCGCCTCCGCTGTTTCAGGTGCAAAGTCAGGCGGCAGCTGTGCCTGGTTGGGGTGGGAGAGGGCGTGGGGGAAGTGGGACGGGGGAGGTGGGGTACGGGCGGGACGTATTTGTAACTGTTCTCCCCTCGCCCCACAAACAGCGCTGCCTCCGCTGGCTCAGGTGCAAAGTCAGGGGCAGCTGGGCCTGGTTGGGGTGGGGAACAAGGAGCATGTGAGGATGGGGGTTGGGTGGTGGCGAGACATGAGGAAAAGAGGCACCTAAACACACTACCCGACCCCACGCCCCATCCATCCGCCCCACCTCATTGATGCTGTACTCGTCCCAGGAAACGATGCCGTGCGCTCCCCTCTCCTCCCTCCTCTCTGCTCTGCTCTCCGCCACTGCACCGAGCCCGGGTGCTGGTGGGGCAGCAGGTGCAGCCCTGTGGAGAGACGCCCGCTCACAAGCAAACACCCGTGCGTGCACAACCAGATATGCACATGCAGACATACACATACACATACACATACACATACACATACACATACACATACACACACACATACACATACACATGCACATACACATGCACATACACATGAACATGCACATGCACATGCACATACACATGCACATGCACATGCACCACATGCACATGCACATGCACATGCACCACATGCACATGCACATGCACATGCACATGCACATGCGCATGCGCAACCAACCACACATACATCAAATAAAGGATCACGAGATCTCAGCAGCAGCAGGGTCATCCACATCCCCTTTACTCCGATAACCAGAATGAGAGAAAAGGGGGGTCGTAGCAGGGCAGGGGAGAGCACAGCTCCCTGTCATTGAGCCAGCAGAGAGAGGAGGGAGAGAGGACGGGGGGAGAGAAGAGGAGAGGAGAGGAGAGGAGAGGAGAGGAGAGGAGAGGAGAGGAGAGGAGAGGAGGAGGGGGAGGGGAGGGCAATGGGCACCTGGAGATGAAGAACTCGGCGCCGCCATCGGGGGGCAAGGTGCCAAACGCCATCCAGTGCGCCAGCTGCCCCACCCACACGCACTGGCAGTGGCGGATGCACCTGCGGGGAGCGATGCACGCAAGGGGCGGGATAGAGGGGGGCAGGGGGGCAGCAACGTGAATAGGACTGGATGACGCTGAGAGGGGAAACGAGATCTCTCATGTGGCACATATAAATGCGATGTGAAAGTGACTAGGTGAGCTTACAAAGAGAACGTGACTGTACAGAGAGAGAATGGCAACTTGACATATTAGAAAGAAATTGGCTAGCTGCTTACGTGTCGAGAGCAATTGACAGTAGGTCAGGCCCGAAGCTGCTCTCCTGCTCCAGATAGCGGAGCAGATGGGCTCCTGTGAGGTTGCTTTGCGCTATGGCGGATGTGACTCTAACGAGGCCTGTCAGCAGCTGCTCATACTGCAGAATGGATAAGAGGGATGGAGGTGAGTTATTAATCAAGACAAAGCTAAAAAACGACGATCCAGTGGAGCGGCAGAGTGGAGAGGCAAAGTGGAGAGCAGAGTGGAAAAGTGGAACTTTGAAACATTCTTAGAAACAGAAACAGTGAGGGCAATTCAGCTTACCACGGAGAGATTGGCCCAGATGGTTCGCACGGGGAGTGGGGAGGAGAAGAGGCGGTCCACCTCGTGTGTGTACGGCAGCAGCGCCTCCTCCTCCACACACGTTGCAAACGCACACTGCAGACCACTCGCACCCCCCGCCGCCCCTGCCAGCACCCTGTGCGACGCATCCCGTCCACTTTCTGACACTGAGGTAATCCCCCCCGTCGCTCCAGCCACGCTGTATGGTGCTGAGGCTGAGGATGGGTGTGAGGCTGGGAGTGCGGCTGCGAGCGAGGCTCTTGCTGCGGCGCTGATGGCGGCGCTGCGGGCGTCCAGGAGGCGGCGGGAGAAGCGGTGGATCTCCGTGACGCACGCTGCCAGCTGGAGGAGCTTCTCCACCCACGGCCTGTGACGTGGACGAATGGGATGAGGGCGTGTGGATGACGTGGACATGCGGATGAGGATGTATGGATCACGTGTACCAATATACTTGAGAAATCTCAAACGCGAAATCCAGTACTTTTGAGCAGAAGGTAATAAATTATAGATTATACCAAGAACGCTGCTAATCCAAGAACACTGCGACGGCCAGATGCGTACGGCGGCGACTCATGACACGAGATTCATTCTCCGAGGCGCTCCGAAAATCGACTCACGACACTGAAATCCAGCTAAAAGAGATTCCATGCCGCGGAGTGAGATTGACGACGGACGTAAATCAAGGCGACGCTGGCAAGCATACACCAAATTCGTCGCAGGGACACCACTGGCACGAGGAACACCGTGAGGAACACCGTGGGAGGCCGTGAGGGACTCACAGCTCGTCCGTTGGATCAAACGCGTCCTCCGAAATGAACGGCGGATGCGGTGGCTGTGTCCACGAGGCAGCCTCGCGCTGCGAAGCGTTCGAATTCGCTGCGAGCTCTCGTGGCTGGCCGCGAAGAGCCACCAGCAGCTCCTGCCGTGACGAGATCATCTAGGCGGGGAAACAAGAGGTTCAAATGGGTGCGGCGGAGACTCGTTCTACAAAAAACTTGAGTGTTTGAAAGCTGGCACTCAGAGGAGACTCAGAAGCTAAGACGGGAAAGTAACTGCTGGAATCGCACAGAAGAAGGATCCACTTTGCTGCGCCATAAGAAATCGCTTTCGCGGGCCGGTCATACTCATCAATATTTGGAAAATGACACAAAAGGAAACGAAACGAAACTGAAACCGACCACTGTTCGGAAAACAATACCAAATCGGAACATTTCATGAGCAGTGGCCACTTGGCGCTCGGAAAGGTCAGCCTTCCCGCGTTAACGAAGCGAGCAGGTTCGATTCTTGGGCGCGAAAATGCATGTTGCGGAGGGCAGGTTCGATTCTTGAGAGTAACCACCCGGCCATCATTTTCCGGTTCGCTTCGTAAACCGCCAAAATGGTTACGCGCCCTACACGCAAACCCAATCCACAAGTTACAAGCCCAGAATTCCTTCTCGAATCCTCTCCAACCTCTGCCACCACCGATTTCCACCATTGAGTTTCAACTGTCGAGCTCACAATTCGTGATTTGGATAATCTCAGACACTGGTATTCAACTGGTAGCAGATCGAGTCTTCGTGCAGTCATGGCGGCCGGCGGCGGCGACGACGAGAACATCGCCGATGGATCCTCGTTCGAGATTAAGATAAAGACGCTCGATAACCGCACCTTCGATGTTGCCGTGCATCCCGAGGTGGGATCGTTCACCGCGCTTTCCTTTTCCCGACGTTAGGGGATTGCCATTTAGCTTATGCTTTTCACGTTCCCAGGTCCACCATCCATCCGGGCCTTCAGTTTCGGCAGTTCGCCGTCGTCTCTCTGTCTTCCCCCACCCAGATTCTCGTGTCGACCCTGAACGACGCCGGTGCACCGCCGCTGAGCGGTGCTTGCGGCAAGTGCTCCTCGGGAAAGATGCTCAAGTCAAATTGGTTATGAGAACTTTCAAAGTCAAATGGGTGCTCAACATCCAACCGTTTTTCTTACCTCCTCCTGCCTCCCCTTCCCTCGTCTCGCCGAGCAGATGCTCGTCTCCACCCTCAAGGACCGCATTGCACCGCTGCTGGGCGTGCCAGCGGGCAGGCAGCGGCTGGTGTTCCGCGGGAAGGTGCTCAAAGACGACAGCACCGTCGCGTCCTACGGTATGCCGCGCGCCATCTCTCCCCCCTTCCCCCCGCCGCTATGGTGTGCGCCATCTCTCCCCCCTTCCTCCCGCCGCTATGGTGTGCGCCATCTCTCCCCCCTTCCCCCCGCCGCTACCGTACGCGCCATCTCTCCCCCCTTCCCCCGCCGCTATGGCATGCGCCATTTCTCCCCCCTTCTCCCCGCGTCCTATGGTACACGCCATCACTTCCGCCTTCCCCCCGCATCCCACGGTACACGCCATCACTCCCCCCTTCCCCCCGCCACTACAATAGGTGCCTCATTCCCCCGTTCTGCCTGCCGCTACTGTAGGCGCCATCACTCCCCCTTCCCCCCGCCCCCCTTCCCCCCCCCGCCGCTACTGTAGGCGCCATCACTCCCCCTTCCCCCCGCCCCCCTTTCCCCCCCCGCCGCTACTGTAGGCGCCATCACTCCCTCCTTGCCCCTGACCCCCTTCCCCCCGCTGCTATGGTAGGCTACGGTAGGCCGCGTGCTACGGTAGGCCGCGTGCTACGGTAGGCCGCGTGCTACAGTAGGCGGCTGCGCTACTGCTGTGATCCATGCGTGGTTGGTTGGTTGGCAACTTGGTGGGGCACATACTCTCCGCCCTCATGCTCCACTCCACTCCACTCTAATCGGCTTCAAGTCGAATTGGGCATTGCGTTTGAGCTTGTGTGAAACAGGCAAGTCATGTGACCGCGTCCCCTTGTGTCTTTGCTGTGCATGTCTCATGCGCCCCCGACCAACCCTGAGCCCGAGAGGCCACGTATGCATGCATCTGCTGTTGCTTCTGGGTCGAGTGAGGGTGGTGAATTTGAGTGGATTAAGCTAGAATCACAGCTCTGCTCTGCTGTGATCTGATCTGCAGATCTGATTGGCTACCTGTCGATCACCTGTGCTTATGTGTACTTGCAGGACTAGAGGCAGGGCACGTGGTGCATCTGGTGTCGCGGCTGGGGCGAGCCGAGGGGGAGGGGGGGGATGGTGGAGGGGAGGGAGGGACGGGGCGGACAAGGGCAGGCGAGGGGGCGGGGGGAGATGGGCCTGGGGGCGGTTCTGGCCAGCCACTTACTCACATGCAGATAGGTGAGCGAGTGTATGCTGTATCCTGTATCTTGCAGTATGTAATACGTTGGCATGCCTTTCCTCCCTCACACACGCACCTCCTCTCCGCTGCATGCACATGCTGGTTAATCCGCACATCCACATGCTTAATCTGCACGTACTCGTCCTGTTATCATCGTTCAACCGCACTGCACCGGGTGCCATGCCATGCCGCTCTCACCATCCCATGTTGTGAACTTGTTGTGGGCGTGTGTGTACGAGCAGACGGCATGCCCGGTGCAGCCACTCTCCACATGGGCGCAGTTAACATTCACACGGACGGCTCCCCAATGATGCCGGACCTTAACCAGGTGAGCCAGTGCAGTGCACCACTGCTCCACCACCACTGGTAGCGAGCGCTGCTCTTATGTGGCTGGCGGGTGCTATCTATCCCCCTTGTGGTGTGGGTGAGCCGCCTCCACACGGGCTGGGTCAACATTCACACGGACAGCTCTGAGGCTCTCCCATGCCATGCCATGAGACTGGGCCTGAATTAGGTGAATGGACCCCATGCCTGCCTGGCGACACCCGGGCCTCGTTACTTTGCAACACCTGAGCTGTGCACTGCAGTGCACGCTTGTCGACGGTTTGCTCTGTTCACATGTGTATGTGCACGTTCATACACAATCGGACACTTCCGCTGGTGGTTTTACATGAGTGAATATGCGTAATGGCACATGAATGCGCACATGGGCGCTGTGCTGCACTGTGCACCCGCGCATACACATTCGTGTCTGCGTGGCATGACTTCCCTCGAACGATTCTTTTGCGCCTCAGGAACTGTTCACCTCCTCCCCCTCGCACTCTCACGGCACATACTGTGTTGGAGTGGTCAGCCCCAACCCAATGGGCTCGCAACCCCATCCGGCTGAATGAACCTCTTCGCCAGCAACAGCACTTCTAAGACACTTCAAAGCCTTCCCCGTATCTCCTTTCCCCCCATCTTCTCCCCGCAGATTGTGACAGGCGTTCTGAGCTCCATTGGACTTAACCCCTTTGCAGGCAACACCAGCGCCACCATCAACGTGACACAGCCGGGCGGCACAGCGAGTGGGGCGACAGGGGGAGGGTCGGCAAGAGCAGCAGCAGGGAGAGGAGGAGCGGGAGGAGGGGCGGCAGGAGGAGGAGGGACAGGAGGAACAGGGGGAGGGGTAGGAGGGGGAGCGGAAGGAGGAGCGGGAGGGAGAGGAGGAGGGGATGGCTCCGGGAGGTCACAGGGAGGGCCGGAGTTTCAGATTCATGTTGACACTGTCATTCAAGGCCCCATGCCCATGCCCATGGGTGTTCCTATGGGCGTTCCCATGGGTGTGCCCATGCACATGCCGATGGGTATGCCCATGCAGATGGGTATGCAGATGCCCATGCACATGCCTATGGGTATGCCTATGCCCATGCCTATGGGCATGCCTATGCCAATGGGTGCCGGTAATCCCGAGGCTGCTGGCGGTGCTGCTGGTGCTGGTGCAGGTGCTGGTGGTGGTGGCGCTGGTGGCACTGGAGGTGGGGGGGGGATGGCAGGAGGGGGCAGTCAGCGCACGAGCTGGCATGTTGTGCTGCCGCCTCATGCACAGGTGGGTGCTGCTGCCACCGCTGCCGCTGCTGCTGCTGCTGCCGCTGCCGCTGCCCCCGCCGCCGCTGCCGCCGCCGCCGCCACTGCCACCGCTGCTGCTGCAGCTGCCACCGCTGCCACCGCTGCCACCGCTGCCACCGCTGCTGCTGCTGCTGCTGCTGCCGCTGCTGCCGCTGCCGCCGCTGCCGCCGCTGCCGCCGCTGCCGCCGCTGCCGCCGCCGCCGCCGCCGCCGCCGCCGCTGCTGCTGCTGTGCATGTGTGTGTGTGCAAGTGTGTCAGTTTGTGGATGTGTGTGTTCATGTGTGCAGGTGTGTCCTCTCCAGTTCTTACCCCTTCCTTCCTCACCCTCCCCTCCCCTGGTTCGATCACTGCTCTCTTCCATGCCCACTCCCCAGGCGGCGGCCCAAGACACGCTGCAAGGCAAGCATACGTGCATGCCTCACTCACTCGCCTGCACAACAACTTCCTTCCCCTTCTCTCCCCCTCGCCCCCTGCTATCACCGCTCCCTTGAATGAACCCTATGGCAGGCAGGAGGCCTGGACGCGCTGGCCACTATCGACGCGTACCTCACTCGCCTTCACAACTCGCTGCTGCCTGCCGCCTCCTCTGGTGCCCTCCTGCCCCTCCACCCCCCCACCCAGCCGTCTGCCTGCCCACCCACCCACCCACCCACCCGACCACACACGCGCACACACACACACACACACACACACACACACACACACACACACACACACACACACACACATGCACACGCACGCGCACCCGCACGCGCACCCATTCACCCACCCACCCACCGACCAACACACACGCACCGACTCATCCACCCCGCTGCAAACGTGTGAGCTGGCTCAGAAGCCGAGTCGCCATGGCATGCCACCACCCCCCCGATCCACCAGGTGCCCCGCAGGCAGAGAGAGAGCAGGCTCGCCGCCAGGCCCTCGCCCCGCTCCCGCGACTAGCTGCCAACATTCGCCGCCTCGAAAGCATTCTCAGAGGCTCCGCTTCATCCCAGCTTCTGGTATGGCTCCTCAAACGCCTTCATCCCAGCTTCTGGTATGGCTCTTCAAGCGCCTTCTAGTACTGACCCTGTCTTACAAAGATCGCAGTGTCGGTCAGAGGCGCCTCAGAGTCTTGATCTCTCAGGCTTTGTATCTCACGGTCTCACACACAGTATTGTCACTTCTCCCAGCCCAGCCGTACTGAATTCATTCCGGAAAATTCTCAGAGGGCCCGCCTTTTCAGCGTCTCAGAGTCTCAGTTCCCTTTGTCGTTAACGCTTCCTCCAAGCCACTGTTCCACACTGCTCTCTACTGAGCCGCTACCAGAACCTGGCATCGCGGCTAGAGGGAGGAGCATCAGGGAGGGACGCTGCAGAGTGGGCTTTCACGTCCACTCCACCATACTCCATTTCTGCTCGCCTCTCAACCTGCTCCTTCCTCACCATTCCACTTCCACACCACTCTGCATCCCTCCACCCACCCCAGAACCTGGCGTCACGGCTGGAAGGGGCGGCATCAGTGCGGGACGCGGCGGAGTGGGCGGCGGCAAGGGAGGTGGTGGAGGGTGTGGGGCACACGCTGCAGCAGATGGGCCCGCTGCTGCTCGAGCTGGGCCGCCTGTGCCACTCCGTGCACCTGGGGGATACCGTGGTGAGCGTGGGTGGGCAGAGGTGGTTGAGGGGATGGGTTGGGCACACACATGCACTCCTGCAGACGGGGCTGCTGCTGCTGCTGGAGCTGGGGCGGCCGTGTCACTCCGTGCAGCTGGGAGATGCTGTGGTGAGTGGAGGGAAGGCGGAGTGGGAGCTGGGGTGGAGATGTTGTGGGATGGGCCGGTAGGAAGGGGGAGGTGGTGGAAGGGATGAAACACATACACACACTCCCTCACTCCCCACCTACATCTCTCCCTTCCCCTTACCACCCTCCGTTCCTTCTCGTTCCCATCTTCATCCCTCGAACCTTCCACCACCCTCTCTGTGTCCCTTCCACCGCCCTCTCTGTGTCCCTTCCACCGCCCTCTCTGTGTCCCTTCCACCGCCCTCTCTGTGTCCCTTCCACCGCCCTCTCTGTGTCCCTTCCACCGCCCTCTCTGTGTCCCTTTCCGCCACGGGCAGGGAGAGGCGAGGCTGCAGGCGTCTCACCCGGTGTTCATCAACCAGTTCGGCCCCAACCCCGTCATCACACAGGTGACGCTTAGGGGTTAACCCAGGTGGGGCTCAGAGGTTAACCCAGGTGGGGCTCAGAGGTTAACCCAGGTGGGGCTCAGAGGGTAACGCAGTAATCACAGGCGAGGATAGAGGCTGAACTCAGCTCACTGACGTTTCTGCACTGTGAATTCATTGTTGCACGGCATGGATCCATGGGGGATGAACGCTTGTGCTTTCCCATTCGGGACAGCGTCTCATGTGGTTACCACATGTGTTGTTACCATGTGTTTCCTCAGAGAGTTGCTGACGTGTCAGAGCAGCAAAGGCGGCAGCAGCAGCAGCAGCAGCAAGTGGAGGACTACCATATCAACCTGCAACCAGGTACTCACACACACACGCACTGTGCAGTAGACACGCGCATTCACATTTCAACCAGGCACCCGCATGCCTGCACACCCGCCCGTTCGTTCACTTGCCTGCGCGCCTGCCTGTGCTAGCTCATCAGCCATGTTCTCAAGGCTAGAGATGTCTCAAAACCCCCACGCCTGTGCTCTGTGCATGCAGCGCTGCAGCCATGTGGACTGCTCAATCATAGAGTTCACGTGCAGCACCATTTTTCACCCAATTGCTCTTCATCTTGCGCACTGCAAGCCTCCCATGCTTCCTCTTCTCATGAAGAAATATTCACTTTTCCCGAAAGTTTTCCCTCTGTCGATGCTTCCACGTGCTCACAGGCTTCTTAGGTCCTCGCCCCGGAGCAGCACGTGGCGCACGAGGCTCTACCACCGCCACTACTGCCGCCCGCACTGCCCGCTCTACTGGTGCTGCCAGGACTGGCACTGGCACTGCTGCTGCTGGCACTACCACTGCTGCTGGTAGCACTGCGGCTGGTAGCACTGCTGGTGGCACTTGTGCTACTGTTGCTGGCACCAGTGCTACAGGTTCCAGAGCCGCAGCACCAGCTGCTGCTGCTGCCGCTGGCGGATCGGGTGGTGGCGGACGAAGGGAGGAGCCGCGTGGGCTGGGACTTGGGCTGGGGATGGGCTTGCGTGCCCCCGGCGGGGCGAGGGGAAGGCAGACGCAGGTGCAAGGGCAGGGACAGGGAGAGGCGCAGAGGCAGCAGCCGTCGCCACCACCACAGCAGCAGCAGCAGCAAGCGCCATCGCAGGGTCAGCAGGGGGCAGGGCAGGTCCAGCTACAGCCGGAGCAGGTGCAGCAGCTGGTGCAGCTACAGCAGGCGCTGCAGCAGCAGATGAGCCCCGCCCAGATGCAGCAGGCACAGCACATGCTGGCCCAGCTGCACCCGCAGCTGCAGGCCCTGCAAGGCGCAGCAGGCAGCCGAGGGGGTGCAGGGGCCGCGGGGGCAACAGCAGGGGCAGCAGCAGGGACAGCAGCAGGGGCAGCAGGGACAGGGAGTAGAACAGCAGGAGGAGGCAGCAGACCGGCACAGCAGCAGCAGGGGCAGCAGGGGCGTGCAGAGACTGCAGCGCAGCAGCAGGCGGCACAGCCCCAGGTGGTTCAGTTCCCCGCCATGGTGTCCATCATGGCTGGCCCTGGCCCCGTACCCACTCTCGTGGTGCATCCCGGGGGGAGTGCAGCGGGTACTGCTGCTGCTGCTGCTGCTGCTGGGGCGGGTGCTGCTGGGGGCGCTGCTGCTGGGGGGGCTGGTGGCATGGCGCATGGGATGGGGGGCATGTGGGGAATGGGGCATGGCATGGGCATGGGGGGGATGTACCAGTACCCGTATCCTTACACATGGGGGTATTGGCAGCAGCAGGGGGAGGGGGGAGACGCTGAGGAAGGGGAGGAGGAGGGTGAGGAGGGCGGGGGAGAGGCAGAGGAGGATCCGGAGAGGCAGAGGGAGATGGAGGAGGGGCGGTCACAGCTGCTGGCAGCCATGTTCTCCGTGTTTGGGGACACGCTTGAGTCATGTGAGTCGCCCTGCTGGGGGCTGCTGGGGACGGACATTTTGCTAATAGAGCTTAGAATCCCTCAGAGATAGTCTACTGGCTTGTTCTCCGTGTTTGGGGACACGTCCGAGTCATGTGAGTGAGTGATTCGTTGTGGGGCCTGACTTGTTGTGGCCTTAGTTGTTGTGGGGGCATGCAAGGGGGTAGAGGCTGCGTGACCCACTGGTATCTCTCGTTGGAGGCTGCCCTCACATACTTTCCTTTCCCTCCCTTGCCATCCTCTCCCTCACTTTCATTTGCTCCCTTCTTCTCAGCTTCCTGTCTTCGCCCCCTCCCCCGTGACTAATAGCCCATATCACTACCAAAAATCACCCCTTCTTTTGCCTTTTTTCTGCCCTTCTTCTGCCCTTCTTCCGCCCTTCTTCCCTTCGTCCCTTCCCTGCCATTGCACCTCCTGCGTGTCCTCTCTTGCCCATGGCATGGCAGTGGTGCCGGAAGAGGAGGAGCAGGCAGAGGGGGGAGGAGGGCAGGGAGGCGGAGAAGCAACTCAGCAGCCGGCAGGCAGCAGGGGCGGGCAGGAGGGGGACGCAGCCAAGGAGAGCGCTCAGGCACCAGTTGAGAGGGCGGCAGGAGGAGGGGGGGAGGGGGAGCGGGGAGCGGGGGAGGAGGGGGAGGATGTGGGGCAGCGGCTGCTGCAGGCCATGGGGCCTCTGCTGCACCGCCTGTCTGCTGCCATGCAGGGCCGCCAGGGGCAGCAGCAGGGACAGCAGCAGCAGGGACAGCAGCAGCAGGGAGAGGCGGGGGGAGGTCAAGCAGAGCAGGCGCAAGGGGAGGGTGGGGCAGCCGACGAGAAGGAAGGCGATGCGATGGATTGTGACGGGAAGGAGGAGGGTGGCACGGAGGGGGGGAATGAGCGAGGAGAGGTGCCTGCTTGGAGCCCGCCCCCCCCTCCTCCTGCTGCACCCCCCCCTGCTTCCCCCCCACCTTCCTTCCCACCTGGCGCGCTGCACACAATTGACCAGGTGGATTTTCAGGTGAAAGCACATGGATGCCGTGTCGAGGGCAGCAACTGCGGGAGTGATATCAGGGGTGGAAGCAGCAGTAACAGCGCAGAGCAGCACCTAGGGCACGACGAGAGGGGCCCACTCCCTGCCTACAGCCGTCCTCCTCCCCCCCCAAGCGCCCGCCCATCACCCTCTCCCCCTGCTCCTGGCAAGAAGGCTGCGTCATCAGATGCACAGGCAAGACACATTCTCTTCACCTCGTGACTCAACTGCCGTGCCTACACATCTTGAGACGTCGGGAATTCAGATGTACAGGCAGGACACACATTCTCTTGTGACTTGTGCACATCTGACTTGTGCACATCTGACTTGTACACCCACCATGCACAATGAACGGGATGCTGCTTCACAACACACCCACTGCCATCTGCTTCCGTGTCTGACCGCCCTACCTGGTCCTTTCTTTTCTGCCTCCCCTCCTTCAAATGTACCTTGTTTTTCCTGCATAGAACATGCTTTCTCTTCTACTTTTTCTTCTTCCTCCTGGGTTTCCCCTCCCATCTCAACCACTGCAGCCAGCAGCAGCTTTAAATGCCACCCAGTCTGCCACTCCCCCATCTGGCCCTTCGGCCCCTCTGGGCCTGGGTCTGGGGGGAGGGCTTGGCCTCGCTCCAAAGCCAAAGGTAAGGCGATGCAGAGGGTAAGCTTCCCAAGGCCTCACACCAGAATTAAGGCTTTCTTACAGAGAACATTTGATTTCTCGATTCACCCCTGCCTCCCTCCTGCCTTCATGTCAATCTCCTCCTCCGCCCCCTTCCCCATCTCTTCTCCTTTGCTTGATTCTTCTTGGAATTGCCTCTTCGCTGCTGTTTCTCCCCTCCTCCTCTCGCGCAGCCCCACTCGTTCGTTTCTTCACTCTCCTTCTCCTGCCCCTGCACCATCGCTGCCCCACGTTCCCCACACGCCTCTCTCCCCAGCGATCCACTAGTCCATCACAACCAGGCAGCACTGGGAGCACCAGCAGCACCGCTGGCACCTCAGCCAGTAGCAGCAGCGCTCCCCCATCAGGCTTAGGCCTGGGGCTCCCGAGCCTGGGATCCAAACCTAAACCTTCCCAGAGCAGCAAGCCTTCTGGGAGTGCAGGGGGTGGAGAAGGGGGGGGCATTGGGGCTGGTGCACTGGGGCTTGGATTGGGGATGGGGCTACCAGGCATGGGCGGCGGGGGCGGGGGAGGGGGAAGGGGAGGAGGAGGGGGGAGGAGGCAAGCGCAGGGGAGAGGGGGTAGTGGGCGGGGGGCGAGTGGCGGAGCACGTGACCTGGGCGGCATGTTTGAGGTGCTGGGGTCCCTGGGGATGGGCGGGGGGGGAATGGGCGCAGGTGGCATGGGGGGAGCGGGGCTAGGTCCGTTTGGGGGGATGGGGGCGTTGGGGGGGATGCCAGGGATGCAAGGGATGGGCGCGCCTGCAGGCCTGGGCGGGCTGGGCTTGGCGCCAGCAGCGCCAGGAGGAGGAGGAGCAGCAGCAGGGGCAGCAGCAGCAGGGCGAGGGGCGTCTGAGGCGAATCCGCTGGGCGCCATGATGCAGCAAGCCCTGGCTGACCCCGCCCTGTCGCAGCTCATGCACGGCTTTGCTGCTGGTGCTGGCGGCATGGGGGGTCCCGGGGGACCGCTGGGGGGAGCGGTGAGAAGGGGAGGCGCAGGGAGAGGTGGGGGGGGGCGGGGAGGCGGGGAGCTTGACCTGGGCGCGTTGCTGGGGGGATTGGGGGGGATGGGGGGGATGGGGGGGTTGGGGGGGATGGGGGGAATGGGGGGAATGGGGGGGATGGGGGGTATGGGGGGAATGGGGGGGATGGGGGGTATGGGGGGTATGGGGGGGATGAGTGGTGGTGGGGGGAGCTTTGGGGGGCAGCAAGGGGGGATGGGTGGTGGTGGGCTTGACTTGGGGGCGCTGTTGGGAGGGTTGGGTGGACCGGGAGGGGGAATGATGGGTGGGGGCATGGGAGGGGGTATGGGGGGCATGGGAGGGGGTATGGGGGGCATGGGTGTGGAGGGAGAGGAGTTGGATTTTGGGCAGATGATGGCTGACGTCATGCCCATGGTGTCACAGATGCTGGGCGGCATGGGCTTGGGCGGCACAGGCGGCGGCTTGGGCGGCGGCATGGGCACGAGTGGTGGGCGGAGGAGCACGGGGGGTGGCAGGCGAGTGGAGGAAGTAGAGGGGGAGGACGAGTGGAAGAACTCTCTCTCTCAGGTACGATGGGAGGGGATGGCATTCCCTCACTCAGTCACTCCCTCACTCCCTCACTAATGGTCCTTGCATTACATATGGGGTGGTACAAAGGAAGATGCAAACACAAAGCAAAAACAAACACACAAACCGGTATCCTATCTACCTCTAGTCCCCCACCTACTCCGCCCCCCCCCCCTGTCCGACCCTGGGGGGTATGGGGGGTATGGGGAGTGTGGCCGAGTTGTTGTGATGATACTGGGAGTGTCGAATGACATTTTTTGAAAGATGCCAACAATCCACCCAACCATCTTGCACGGTACACACATCTTGCACGGTACACACATCTTGCACGGTACACACATCTTGCACGGTACACACATCTGACCCGACTGTTTCCTCATCCTCCCTACCCGCCCTCTTTCGAATTCCTCCCCCCCTCCCCCCTCGTCTCCTTCCTTGTATCCTTCTGATCTCTCCTCTCTCTGCTGCCACAGGTGCAGGCAGCAGAGTGGGCGGCGAGCGTGGAAGAGGACTACAGGCACCACGGGACATGCCTCATTGTTTTCTCATCGTCTCTGCACCCTCCTCCCCTCCTCCCCCCGCCCTCCCTGCTGTCTCTGCCCCTAGGAGGAAGCGGCAGAGTGGGCGGCAATCATGGAAGAGGACGAGAAGCGCCAGAGGGACATGCCACGTCAGCGCCCGTTCAGCGATGCGTACTGGCGCGGGCAGCGTGGCAAGCCACCCGTGAGTCTTAGAGCTGCAATCCCTTTCTCCCCCCCTGCCACTTTGTTATCATAATCTCTTGTAGATTCATTACTTCCGCCCCCCCTCCCGCCCTCCATCCCCTCCTTTCCCTCCGTCCCCCCCGTTTTCCCTCCGTCCCCCCCCTTCTGTTTTTCTTAATCTGCTCACTCTTACGCCATCACTGCCCTCCCCAGCCACCTAACCCAATGCCTCTCCGTCCCTCTGTTTCCCACTTCCCCCACTCCCAGCACCATCGCACTGACACGGCAGCACAGCTGTTGCAAACCGGCGCCCCTCCCTCTGCGGTGCTGGCTGCGGCCGCTAAAGCTGCTTCCATTGCCGCTGCTGCTGCTGCTGGGGGGGAGGAGGGGCGGCGAGGGGCTGGGATGCGGGGAGCAATTGAGAGGAAGGAGAGGCAGGAGCGAATGAGAGTCGCTGCTGAGGCTGTAGCGGCAGACGAGGCAGTTCTGGAGGTGAGAGAGAGGGAATTGTGGAGGTGAGAGAGAGGGGATTGTGGAGGTGAGAGAGAGGGGATTGTGGAGGTGAGAGAGAGGGGATTGTGGAGGTGAGAGAGAGGGGATTTGAGTGGTGAGAGGGATTTGTTGAGGTGAAAGGGAATTGTAGAGGTGAGAAATTGTGGAGGTGGGTGGGAGTTGTGGAGATGAGAGGGAATTGTGGAGGAATAGTGGAGGTGAGAGGGAATTGTGGAGGAATAGTGGAGGTGAGAGGGAATTGTGGAACAAAATAGTCCATTTGGCTCATATCTTTGTGTGGGTGCCTTGACATTCACTCACCTGCCACTGTAGCTTGATGTGGCTGCCTTGCCATCCGTTTTCTCACTTGCAGGTTCTCTGTGTGGCTTTGATTTGATCCCTGGCACACTTCACCCTCTGTCTGCTGTCCGTTGCTCCCCTGCGTGCCATCAAGAGCAGGCTTACACTGCCCTGCTGGCGTGGGACCTACAGGCTCGCCTCTCCTCCGATCCGGATGCCCAGGGTCGGTTGAGCTTGCAGCAAGTCCTGAAGTCGGACCAACAGCCAGACGAGGTGGCCTCTGCTTCAAACCCCCCCAGCTGAAGCTGCCCAGCGGAAAATGCTTACAATTGTGCAGCTGATTAACGTGTTAGGTTTGGTTAGTACGGTACTTTGTGAAGAAAATATTCACATTTGACATCGAAGAGTTTTAAATGAACAAGCGTCACCTTGTGACAGAGGTTCTGTTGTTAGATCCTACCGTAGAAGCATATACCGGTAAGAGATTCGTCGCTAGGCACACATGAATTATATAATGTGTGCTGCAAAAGTAGATAAAATGTAACGAGACCTTGAAAAGTAGATAACATGTTGTTACGAGTGCAATTGAGTGAGCGAGCGAGAGTTGCACTATCGAAGCAAAAGGTACAATGAGCGAAGGCATGAGCGAAGAATATATAGCGAAACTACAGTGGTAACGGTAATGAACTGTGGTGGTCGCGCGACGGGCCTGGGACTGAGGTTGGGGAAAATGTCGAAGCGGAGGCCCGGAGCGCGGGTTACCCGCCGAGCCGTGAGGTCGGGATGCGACGTGCGAAGGTGGCGGGAGGATTGTCGATGCGAGGGTTGCGAGTGGTAACGGTGCTGACTGTGGTGCTACAGTGGTGTACGCGCTGAGCGGGGACGCGAAGTAAGGAAAAGGAATTTTCCTTACACATGTACATTCCAACTCGTCGGATGACGGACCCACCTTTTCCAGCCCACCAGTCGATGCCCAGCCTTTTAGGGCGTGTCCAGCTCGTTCATTTCGGGAAATTTAGTACCACCTCACGATCCGGGGTTCTAAACTGATCACTGTACCTATAAACGAATACGACCTGCGTCGAGTCCACCCTTTTTGTCAATTCTAGTGCGCGGACACATTCCCCCCACACAGACTTCAACAGTGCAGGGGCCGTGTGGAAACGAGGTAACCGGTTCACTCGTCAACCAAAGCGTTGGAATTTTCGCCAAGCCAAAACTTCCACTACTGGTTTTGGCGAGTGTCAGGCTGCACTGGCGAAATCGAGCGCGCGCTACGATGGGCACTCACTGGTCCTGTTCGATAGGAAATAGGCAACCATGCTCCCACCATTGTGCGAGCACAATGGTGGGAGTAAAACGACAAATTACAAATTGCGAGTCAGCGCCGGCAACGTAATCATATGCGCCGATCGTTGGCCGGCTTCGTTCACCAAGTCTAACGGCCGAGTTGGGGGAAAACGATGGGACTGTAGCTTGTCGAGGGACGCTTGAGGCATCGTTGAAGTGGACACCGTGGGACATGTTGAGTTTTTTTTTCTGACCCGGGCCCTGGCGAATCCACGGTCAGCGTCAGAGAAAGGATCGCAACCAAAATGTTTGGGACGAAAAACAATTACAGTAGTGCAGATCGGTACCAAAACGTGTGAGTGGTGTCGGAAGGTTTAAGCGTAACACTAGATTATACCTATTTTTGTAGAAATTATCCCGAAATAGCCCCTCCTCTGGCATTGGTGTCCACTTCTCATGAAAGTAGAAATGGCAATGGTGTCCCAATGGTGGGGCGTTTTGCCCGAGAGGAGCTGTGATGTCGCTGTAATGATTACGACGGCAGTCACTTTAGGGAGCGCTTCGGGGTCTGGAACACTGTTAGAGTTCCCGCCAACACTGTTAGATTTCCCTCCATATTTTGGCGAGAGGGCGGGAAACCCGAGTCATCGCAGGGTTTTCGTTCGCGCGGGCGGGAAATCTGAACCGTCGCATACAGTCGTAAGCAGTTTCCCGCCCGATTCCTCCCACCATTGTCAAATATAGCAATCATATCTAACCCTGCTATCGAACAGGGCCACTGTAGTGGGCAGTACGACTGCAACCTGGTGATCTTCGATGGATTTCTCCGAGCTCTCCGCCATGGATTTCTTCAGGGTATTCAACCCAGCATTTCGTGAAGCAGAGTTATCAGTTGGCTTTAAGAAACACAGCTTCGAGCTCGCCTTATCGCGACGAATCGATTGGTACACTTTTAATGTTCATCACGCGAACATCGTATCAAGAGCTTCTCGGGATCTGTTGTTCAGCTTCTTATATCCAAGCAATCTCAAGGCTTCATCAGCTGACATCCTGGCACTGATTCATTGTGCTTCACGAGAGTTCTCCAAAAGGAATCCTGATTGGCTGTTCGTATTTCATGGCGTTCTCAAGGCTACTGATGATCACCCATAGGTCTTATCAGCAACAACTCAGCACTTACATCAAGAGCACTGGTCTGATGGGAAGATGTTGCGACTATATTATACTGGGCTCAGACATTTGGCAGCTCAGGCATTTCGAGCCTTTCTAAATCAACTGCTGCTGATCTTCGCTCATCATTGCCCAAGGAACGTGCTCCGCTCATGCCGAAGTGTGCTGCTGCTGGTGGTACTGTTACGGATCCTGAAGACAAGGGGAAACAAGTGGAGGAGAATGAGCCGATTACCCCAGTGGCTGGAAGCTCAGGTTTATCACTGGAAGAAAAGCTTGCTGCACTCACCTCTGCGCATGACATTGACAACGACGGTGATTTCACGGATGATGACTCGGACACAGAACTGGAGTTTGAGATATCCAGTGACTCCGCTGCAAAGCTTCGTTACACGCCCATCCTGCTGCTGCCTCTCGTGCTGCAGCCGGAAATCGCCTTGGTCATCATCACCGCGCGGATGCTGTTAAAGCGTGTTTGGTCTTCCTTGCTCTCTGATGGCGCTAACACAAAGGTTGATTTTCAGGACATTCACCCTGCGTATGTCGCAAAAACCAAGTACAGTCGCCTGCACTTGTCATTTCACAAAGAAGAGGATGCCATTAAAGTGAGACAATCGGCTCTGGAGTATCAGAAGCCGAATGGAACATCATACCCGCTGCATTGGCTCCATACGGAAAACGCGGCCTTCGTTAAAGAGAAAGCTACCAATCCACGCGTCATTGAAGTGGTATTTAAGGACATACCTGCGAATATTACATCGGAGGCTGTTGAGGAGCTGCTGGTGAAGTATAAGTTGAAGGTTCGGCAGGTCACGCCTTTCCTGGAGAGCCATTGCTTTCACCGAGTTGTACATCCTGTCTCTGGAGCTAACACAGGGGTTATCAAGGGGCTGGTAGTTCCGCATCCGGAGGATAAGAAGAGGCGTTGGATTCATCAGGTTAACCACCCGCAGGAGAAGGGCAAGACACTCCTGGTCCATTACCCTGTGCTTTCCTGTCGGCTCTGTGGGGGATGGCACTATGATAAGTATCATGATGCCTTCATCACAGACCGACAGCATAACATAGGGAAATGGAGCTTGAGTTTAGGTCGTGTGCACGGGATTAACGGTAACAGTGCAGCCGCTCAAATTCATGATCCTGCTTCTCTTACCTGTTCTTCGGATACTAACCACTCAGCCGCTTGTCGCAGCTTCCTCGCTAACTGCATCAAGTCTTGTTCGTCCGATCCTGCTCGACCAGGCGATTGTGTTGATCTCCACCGGAAGTTCCAGGGAGGAATGGATTTGCACTCAGACCTGCTGTGGGAAAGCACACGGGAAGCTGTTTGTCGCTGCTGCAGAGCACATCACCTCAGCACGTCATCTGCACGGTCAGGGAGAGCTCGGTGCTGTTACTCGGTTGACGAGGGAGAAAGAGAATCTGCACACGGTTCGCAAGGAGTATGGGATCTAATGGCTCCAGAGAAACTCACCATGGCGATAGCAGTTGGTTCGGCGTTGACTGCTCTGTTCTGTATCACCTGCCTGTGGATGCGTAGAGGCGATCAAGGAGTTATTAAATGAATACACGAAACACCCTGTCGTTTGCGGGCCTGAATGTTAACGGCCTGGGGGATTTTACGAAGCGGAAACGTACAACGGCATGGATTAATAGCAGAAAAGGAGCGGATGTAGTGGTTTTGTCAGATACCCGAATAGCAGATGATCACACTTACTGGCCTTCTCTTAACCTCACTTCTCTTGCCGTTGCCTCGTCTGTGACACGAGCTGGTGGTGTTGCAGTTCTGAGCCGGCGAACGGATCTCTCCTTCCACAACCCTTTAGCCCACACTTCCGGAAGACTTGTTAAGGTGGAAGTCCACTGCCTGAACCTTCGCCTTACTTTAATAGCCACTTATCTCCCTGCGGACAAAGCCGAAAAAAGAGCCTTCGTTAGATTAGTGCTTGGTCCGGTTATCAACCACATTCAGCCAGGTGCTCATCTGCTCATCCTAGGAGACCTAAACACCATTGAAAATCCACTGCTTGACAAGACTTCTAGACATGGGTCAACAAGGGAGAATGACTTCCTCTATCACCACTGCAAAAATTTCGCTATCTCAGATGCTTTTCGCTTCCTTCACCCGAGCGAACGTGAATTTACCTTTTATTTGCAGGCGCATCAGGAGAGCACACAGATTGATCGAGCTCTGGTTTCTCAATCCCTGCTCCCGTGCCTGGTGTCAGCTGCGCATGTCTCGCCGGACGAGCCAGTCTCCGACCATGGTTTTGCCATCCGAGTAACCTTCAAGCTCAAGTCGCAGATGAAGCTGGGACCGGGTGTTTGGCATCTTCACCCTTCCCCGTTGGGGAGACCGGGGGCTAAGAGGAAAATCGAGGAGGTGGAGCGGTTGGTCACGCAGAATGGAGGAGGCTTTGCGTCTCTCATCTCTCGCCTGAGCACCAGTCTGCGATCATATGCAAAAGAGGAAAGTAAGATAATAAGGGCGACCATCAATCATCTCACTACAACGGTGGCTGTATTGCGTCAGGAGGTCATGCAGAACCCAAAGGACCAAGTTCTGAAAGAACGGCTGGGGAGACGGGAGCAACAGCTTAAGGAATACTTCGCATGTCGGCAAGAAATGATGCATACAATGGCTGGGATGGAGCTAGCGTTGTCAGGGGAAGTTCCCTCGCCACATCTGTCAGCACGCATAAAGATACGGAAGGTCAAAACGCAGATAGCGGAGGTAGCGGTACCGGGAGGTGTGGTGACGGAACCAAAGAGAATTCTGGAAGCAGCTGCAGAGTACTTCCGTGGTCTCTTCGGGGAAGATAAACGGACGGTGTCTTCAAACT